GCAGTATTTGTTCTCCGTAGAGTCTTTCATTAGTTCTACGTACCCATACTTCTTGATAAATGGGCCATCATTTGACCTTGTAGAACCTGAATTCTCATCTTTCCCATCGAAATGGGATACTTGCTCGACGATGATACCTCTACCTCCGTAGACATCTTTACTTACTTCTCAATTCTTCTCTTTTCTGTTTGACAACCTGGATCCAAGCTCACTTTTCCTGATAGCTATCGTTTTAAAACGTGTTGAAAAGGTGTGAACTTGAACGCACAATTTCTCTAATTTAATCAATATCCTTCCAGCTCTACTGTCTAGTAGAATGGCTATTGTTTCGTTTTCTCTTTCTCTCTCGTTCAGATTGTAGCTCTACAACTGAGCTCCGATATGCTACATATACCAGGATCTTTCGATCCTCTGCTTCTCGCAGTTTCATCTTCAGATAGTCTCGTCGATCTATCTTCCTGAAGTGCATGGTGGCCCTGGAGGGCTTTCCCACTTTACTAAACCTATGGACCTTCATCCTCCATTCATTTGCTCCATCCCGTCGCTCCTTGCATTCATCTCTTCGACCTAACTTCCTAACCTTGTAGTTGCATCATCTAGACGACCATTGTCCTCGTTCCTCGTAACACCTGGCCATCTGATGATGATCGGATAACCATCTGATTTGAGTCACACATCCCCAATCACGAACCGTGATTGTGGATCCCGAGTCGTCTGTCCGTCATACGAAAATACCTTTCTGACACTTGTCTTCCAGGTGCTGCTGTAAGTGGACGTTCTGGAACGTCTCCACTTTACTGACTTTTGGCGATTTTACCAGAAAAATCTCAACATGAATTGATCATTACTCAAATCGCTCATGATGAATTCATCATCAAGTTCAATACTTTCATCATTAATTCATCATGAATGTTTAAATTCATCACTAATTCAATCATTTTCATCAAAATTAATCACATTGCAGCACAAATGCACACTGTATTTTCAATAAATTTCATCACGGATTCATGATGAATTGATGATGAATTCAAAGTTTCATGATGAATTCATCACCAATGTAATTACTTTCATCATTAATTCATGATGAATGGTTTAATTCATCACCAATTCATCAAGTTTTAGAAAATTCATCATAATTCATCATAGGGGATACCTTCCTGGGATGGTTCGAAGGCAGGGCGTGCGGATGAAGCTACTAGTACCGTCTATCAAACATCATACCATAGTCTAGTTTTGTTATCCCCCGAGAACTCCTGTGCGCAGCTCGAGGATCGAGGTACTGGTAAAATGTGCAACCTGATACACGTCGAGTCGAGTCCTCCGCGTCAGTGGAAAACATCATTAGGCTACATGTCCACAGGCCAACTTCGGACGTGGTTTCTGGACGAAACAGAAGAATGGATAAAATAATATACATAAACATAGTATGCGTTATGCATCAAACACAACCGCATAAGGAAGAAATGTCACAAAGGAACCGCTTTGATATCCGGCGCTTCTTTGAGTGACATACAGATACATGTACCCGTGCTAGTCTGCCATAGAGGAAGCAACTACTAGAGCACGGAAACAGATTCGATTCGCGGATTCAAAACCTTGCCGCCCCCCTTGGTAGGCAGGCGGAAGTTAGCTGGCACGGGAATTGTCACTCACTTTCTCTTCATTGCTGCCGTTGCTGCTGTACTTGCTGGTTTACGTTTTACTTCCGCTACTGGTCGTGACTGTATCTGAGTGCTCCTTGGCCGAGTTCAACGGCGCGCCAGTTTCCGCTCAATACAGGTATTTGTGGCACCAGATGCGTGCTTTGATCGGGTGACGTCCTCGCCTCCAGAGCAGGACTTGTCTCCTTGGCTTTGGCCTTCCCGTTCTTCGACTTTTTGTTCCCTGGCTTTCGTTTGATCTTCGTACTGAGAAAGGGTTGGTTCTTCACAAAGAGCTCGTGCGAATAAGCTCCATTGGTGGGGCCTTCATCTGTGATCCGTTGAAAACCGTACATGTTCATTTGCCGCTGAAAGCTGGCAAAGTTATTCGTGTTGAAATACGTCGGCTACAATAAAGAGCAAGATGACGTCAAGCGTGAGAAATCTTGAGACTCGAGACAGGAACTCAATATTCGATAGAACTCACCATGACGGCTGACACGAACTCCCTATTCTTGTGAATGGCGAACAGCGTTTTACTCCCAGGTAAGAAAGAGGCAATGTCATCCATCCCAAGCCGTTCCAAGTCCCCCAACATTTGGTGAATCTTCTGCGGAAAAACACCGGGCCGCCCTCGCTCACGCTTCTGTTTGGGGGCTGCCAGGGTGTTACCCGACTGAGCCGCGGAAGGACTTGGTGGTGGCGGCGGCCGCTTCAACGAGGCTCCTGCTTGCTCAGTAGCGGTGCTGGTCACGGCATTGCTATCACCGATATGCTGGCGGAACGTTACATATTTTGGAAGGTGATGGTGACTCGCGAAGGGGATCGCCGCCGCACTTGGGCAGCTTCTCCTATTCTGCACCTCCGGTGCCAGCTTCCTTTTCTTGTTGACGTTCGATGTTGGATTACCGGCCACGGCGGGAACAATCGAGCTATTCGAATCTGTTGACGGTGGTCGCACGAAGTTCGTAGACTCGGGAGTCATTGCAGAAGGTTCAGATGACGCTTGACTCTGACACTCAACCTGCTCGGCTAGCAACATTAAGCCATTCGGCATCGAACCGCCATTGCCCACATCACAGTTGGCGGTTGTGTCCAAGTGCCCTTGCGGCTTGGTAGCCGATTCGAGCTGTTCTTCGGCTTGCTCTTGTAGCATTCTCAATTGGATCTGATGTTGCGATTTCTCTTGCTCCTTCTTTAGGAGACCAGCAAGTGATTCCATTCGGTCTTGCTCCACGCGCTCTTTCCTGAGTCTACCTTGGAGTTTCCCTGACATATTCTGTCGCACACTTTGCGTGCCATGTTGGTTGTTATTGCCTGAGGCAACCGGTGGCGGCTTGAGGTTCGACTGTTGCTGGGAAAATTGTGGTTGCGCAAGTGCTTGCTTTGGGACTTGCGATGGTTGTGCGACCTGAGTGTTCACCATCTGAGCCAATAGATTCATCACCGGTGCGGCAAGCTGTGTAGTGGTTTGTATCCGCGGCGTTGCGGCCGGTGGGAGAGCTGCTGGCTTGGAGTCTTGAGCTTCACAAGCATTGGCATTAGTACGATTTAAGAGACCGGTGATGACAGCCAGGATGTCGTTGGCATTTCCAACGCTTGGAATTGGCGCAGGAATTGGTGCGGCGACGGGAGCCGGAGATGCAGCTTGGATAGTTTGAGCCTGGTTACTGGCCGTAGGCGGCACCTGCTGCTGCACCGGCGGCTGGGCTTGCTGGGCTGGATTTGTACTCATTAGGCTCAAAATAGTGTCTCGGAGCTTGGTAGAAATTGCTGCATCAGACGCAGTAAGTGGTTTCTCCTGTTGCACGGGAGCAACGGTGGCCTGTCCTTGTCCCTGTAATTGCTGCCCCCGGGCCTGTGCTGCAATCATCAATGCTGCAATAGTATTCCGAAAGTCTCCAGCTTCCACTGGATTATGATTGTTCAGTTCTTGGCTAGACTGATCCTGAGAAACCGCCGTGGCAGGTGTCATACCGGTGTGAATCTCATTGATGGCTTGCTTCGTCGACTGATGTTGCGGGGCAACCACATTCATCAGAGATTGAAGATTCATGGAGAGCTGAAGTTGCTGTTGTTGTTGCTGCGATTGCTGAGCGCTCTGGGGAACATTCGCGCTGCTTGGAGCTGCCTGCGGGAAGTGATACGGGGCCTGATATTGATGGCTGGAAGGTGCTGCAGCTTGAGTGGGTGGCGGTGAGGACATTTGCGGCACCGGCGTCGGTAGAGCCTGTGCCATCGGAGCAGGTGCTTGTGGCGACAGAAATGGGGCGCTTGCTTGTCCGTTTGATGCTTGTACCCCACTGAAGATCTTCGGGACAGACTGGGGATTCGACAAGGTCGAAATCAAAGCACCGATTTGAGCTGGATTCAGCGCATTCAAAGCCCTCGAGAGGTCATTACTATTAATACCAGCAGCTGCATTATTATTGGTTGGGGCTGCTGAGACGACAGCAGGAGCAGGAGCTGGAGCCGGGTGGCTCTGGTAGACTGGTGCTTGTGGATTCTGGTAGACTGGAGCCTGTTGGTTGGAAGTGAAGGCAGGAACTGGAGGTACTGCTTGAGCCTGCCCCAAAATCTGCGGATAGTGATGCTGCGGTTGCTGCCATTGTTGCTGATGGGTCTGCTGCTGAGGCCACACGGGCTGAGCTGCATATGGCTGCTGCGGCTGCGGTGGGATCGTAGACGGCTGGGGCGTCGGGTTTTGAGATGGTTGGTGCGGTTGGGGATTGTTCGACAACAGAGCCTGGACGATGGACGCAACGAGTTCGTTTTGGTTGCTGCCTCCCATCTGATTCTGCCCCCCAACAAAGCTACCATTGTTGTTGTTGTTGTTGTTGTTGTTGTTGTTGTTGTTGTTGTTGTTGTTGTTGTTGCCGTTATTACCTGGGTTTGGGAAACTCATGGTGTTGGTAAATTGACGACTACTGTCGAGTTTGTTTTGCTTCTCGCGTCGGCCTTCAGTCGAGCGATTTGTTTCTGCTGTTGTCTGGTGCGGTCAGCTTTCTCCCAAAGAAGAAATGCTGGTGGTTTGCGACGGAGAACATGATCTCTCCAAAACGACATTGAATCCAATGTACGAGCTTCCTTTTGGCCAATCGCAGGCAACCAATTGTGCAACGAATAAGGCCATGTGCTACAAAACGACAAGTGATTAGCAAGACACTTATCAGAGCTTCTTTTTGAAAGCGTGACGTAAGTTTTGTTCCACGATTTTGATCTTGAACCAACGCAATGTGTCAACTTGGCATGGTTCACCGCTCCCAAACACAGAAATGTTGAATTGAAAAAGAATATCCTTCTTGCAAACTGAAGAAAAGAATAAAGAAGGTTTTGGGCGATGTCAGCTTTTGCCAGTTCTCACGCACGGTTCCACCAACACGATTTCTTTCCTCAATTTCCTTCCCAGTGCTGGTCTAGTAGTGATCATGAACCAGTACAAAGTCCATACGGTACCGGTAACCGTTACGTTCGAGCATTCATTGTAGCGAAAATGAAGCCTGTTGAGTTGTTATGTTGACACCTTCCCGAAACCCAATTTTTTTATAAAGGAGATAGGAAGAGGAGGACACTTTGGCATCCTTGGTTCCACCCCACAAACCCTTTTAGCAGGTACGTGCATTGTTCCTCAATTACGCCAGTTATTTGTCTTCGGCAAGTAACTAGCTACCGGTAGCAGCTAGCTAGGGCCTTCCTTGATTCCATTCTAGCTAGCTAGCTGGTTCTATTTTGGATTGCGTTACGAAGAACAAGGAGGAAATGAGGAGCGAAGGGGCGACGTCCAAGTTCCAAGGCACACATTCTTGCTATGCAGTCCTTGGCTTCACGGCTTCAAGAACCACTTGGCAAGAGAAGGGGGGTTTTTGCTTGTCAAAGTGAAACAGTCAGAGCCACACTCACTCTCAAGGTTAGGTTAGTTACGCTCTGGCGAATGCACCAACGCCGACTGGTGACAGGAAAGACTGAGAAGGCTGCCATAGGCTCCGTATTGTCCACGATGAATCCATATCTTATTAATACGTCAAAAGCGCTGGACACAATGCTATAAAATTACATTGATGATTGCCGTCTGACTGGGTTGCAATTGATCCAAAAAAATCGACCTGGATGTCAGCATTTGCTAAGTCCCCTGATTTCCTTGGCCGTACCGGTACAGCACCGTACGTTTCAATAAGGAAATTCCCACCATGGGCCAGTTACACGAGCCATTGTCCATGCATTGAATTGACTGGAACAGCGCCAAGACGTGAGTTGATTCCTCGAGGGACACACCCGTTTCGAAGAACGGCTTTCTGCAGTTCCAGCCTACCGCCGAACTTGATAGACCCGACATGGCCAACACGAAACCACCCAGGAACAGCGTCAATGTTGATGCCATGAAGTGGTGTACAGCTATGATGTTCTTCCGTTGCAAAAGACTCGTATTATGAACTGTTCTTTCCCTCTCCAGCCTGGCGCTTGGCTCTTTTGTCGCGTAAGGATTTTACCCACCATCCAATGAGTGTAGGTGAAAGCAGAACTCCTACAAAAAAGCGGTGTCTTGATTGAGCTCAATCCATGGAGTTAAGCAAGTTTTTCTCAGGCCTGCAATATTGTTTCACTTACCAAACCAAGTTGACGCCGAGACCATGACTTTCAGAGTTGAGCTGGGAGCTGCACCCAAGGTTACTACTTTGGCGGTTTCCGCACCCATGAAAGACCACAAGCACGTGAAAGGAAAACCATGGAGCAACACGGACAAGGCAAAATACCTTGACTTGATACTCAGCACGCTCATCCCAAGATTCTTGATTGGTTCGGGCAAGGGTGACAACCGAACCATCAATGCTACCAGCAACGGGTTTTCAGTGACGCTTTCTTCGACCAGCTGAAGAAACTCGTTCTCTTTGAGTTCTCTGCGTACCGTGTCGTAAAAGATGAATCGTCCCAAGAAGAAGGCGGTAAGGGCTCCACCAATCTTTCCCAGCGCATTGGCAACAATGGCCCTTTTGGCGCCAAAGGCAAATCCAGCTGCTGTTTCCACTGGAGTCGTAATGCCGACAGTCATGGTCCATAGACAGAAGATTGCTGCGTAGATGGCCAAGCCTGCGTTTCCCGCCGAGTCGAGATTCTCCAAGGCCTTTCGCAGCCAGCGATTGATGGCCTTTACGTCGACCTGGCTGAACAGCAAGAGAATATCTTGGCGTCTTGTAATCCCCAAAAAACAGAGCGATAGAAGAAGCACGCTGGCTGCTATTTTTCGTTTAGTTTTCCGATAAAGTTGTTCTCCTTCCAGGCTGTTGTTAGCCGTTTGGCGGAGTAAACTGCTCGACTCCAAAGCAGAAACTCGGAGAGAGGGCAAAGGCCTGAAGACGTTGTGACTGAGGCATAGCGATTTTCTCTGCCCGAGAACGTAGCTCTGTCTAGCAGGAGCATCACGCTGCTGCGAGACAGCCAAGGGACGAAACGGCTTTGTCGTCGAATGCTGGCTGAAACCAAGCACAAACCCCTCCAAGGCAAGGAAACACAGTATGAACGCTTTGGACATAGGAACAACACGCTGTCGGCCCCGTCTCCCAGTAGCTCTTGGTGGTAACTCCATCATAAAATTGTTGTGTGATACTGGTACTTGGTATGTTGGTCAGAAGAGTTGTGTGATGATGTGGTGGAAAATGGGAAAGCTTTTTGGAGGGAGAACGATGTTGAAGTGTTGCCTTCAGGAGGCTGACGTCAGCCTCAATCATGGAAGCTCAAGTGACAGCTCGAATGGCTTATACAACAGTATTGGATTGACCTACTAGTAGTGCGGCGCATCAATGTCTTGCAGCTACTTCCCCCAACGAGCTCCGACATACACATGTCAGACATGTACATGTCAGGAACTAGCTTTCCCATGCGAAGTCAGAAATGTTCTAGTAGGTACATGTAGCTGGTGGCCTGCTGAAGATCATGAAGGAGGATAAAGAATAATTAAAAGCAGAGTACTAATACAGAAAGAGATGATTCATCTTGGAAAGCAAAGATAGAGACTCGAATACAGCAGCCAACACTTGACGACACAGCGCATCAGTGCCTGTAGCGCATCAGTCTTCCCTTTGCGAGATTGCACCGCACACGGTGTCAAGAAGAAGAGGTACCGGTTCTCCTGTACCAAACACGGCCCAATCAACCGATGGGAACTCGCACTGCAACTCCACTTCGTCCCAATCCGGATGCGAAGACAAAGGAACTACTCTCTTGTTTGGTTCCTCCTCGTCCCTTTCATGGCAGCTGAAGACATCTTCCGTAATAGTGGCAGCACATGGCACCATTTGTGCTAAGATATTCTCTGCTCTCGCAACGCCAGACTCTGAGTCCAATGTATCCACGCTGTGCTCGATGCCCCCTTGGTTAAGGTCGTTCTCGTCTGCTTTTGCATCACCCCAGTCAATGAAATCAATGCTGAGCTCGGGTCTCTCTTTTGGCCTACTCGTAGGTTCGTTTTTCGGCTGTTGAACTTGAAAGGCACTGTTGCTGGAAGAAGTCGACCCAACACTACCTTCCGAATCATCTGCATCCTGCTGATGGTGCACCAGATTGATGAGGCTATCAGTGTGTCCATTCCACTGTTTGCAACTGCCCAAGCTACCAGTGAACATGTGGTTCTTTCTTCGAGCTCGAAGGCACTGGGATACCTGTCATGATGATTGAAGCAAGATTGCGCAAGTCATTTCATGTGAGCGGTGTCAAAAGGAGGATCTTCATGCATAGAGCTTGCTGTTCAGGCAAAATGCATCAACCATACCTTCCTGGTGGCGCATTTGTCCCCAACATCGTACCATCGTGCCACCACCGTTCCATCCGGACCTTCAATCAGCTTCTTGTCAAGGAAACGCCCATTCTGGGTCTGCCGCCAGAGTGAAACGACGTAGCTCGAGACTCGCGGCTTCATTGTCCGCGTCGCGGCTAGATACAGAGGCCTGTGGCGGTCGATGAATGCGCGGAAGTTCACGTTGTGGCTGTTGCTGAGACCTCCTCTTCCACAAATGCAATCTTAAGAAAAGGGAAAGCGCAGAGGACGAGGGATGAGGTGAAGCATTGTGCGTGGCATAGCAGGAAGCCATCGTCGAATAACTCATCCAAAGTCATTCATTGGTACCGCCGCTCGCTGCCATCTTACCGTTCTTTCCAGGGCGATCTCCAGGAGCGAGAACAGAAACGTTGCTCATGGTTGCTTCGCGTCGATAAACAGCTGAATGACGGATACAGTTGATGTGATTTGCTTATTCCACGGTAAAAAAATGTGGCTGTGATGAAAGAGGAAACCGCGATGGGACTTTCGGCGGAGGAAGGATGCTCAGCGCATAGACACATACCGCCGCTACCCGTTGTAAACAACAATTTCAGCTCTCATTGCATCTTTGTATTGGAAAAACAGTATGTCATACCGGGTAACGGGTAACATTATTTCTGGTAATAATTGGGAGCTCTGAAGGAAGCTCGGAAGCTCGAACCAGAAAAGAACCCAAGAACCCGGGAAGAACATCTACCGAAATCACCAAAGAGACATCTCCTTATGAGAAGAGGCCTTTTAAAGAAAAGAACCATGTTTTATCATTGCTCTGGCGACTGATAGAATCCTAACTCCTTTTTTTCTGTAAAAGTCATGCTGATGAATAGCCTACACAGAAAGGAAAGCTGAAAGAATATTCTGAGCTACTAGTAGTTTAGCTGTGAAAGAGATTTAGGAATTCAGAGCAGTCTCAACGGATCATCATCTGTTTTCCTTGTTTGACCATTGTAAGAATGTATTCTGGTGGCAGTTCTGATTCAACCAACTCGAAGTCTGATCAATCGATAGTTCTAAAACCAAAACAAGTCAAGTAAGTGAAGTAGGTACGGTAGTGTACGGTCCACCTCAGTAATAACCAGTCAAAAGCCCTTTCCTCCACCCACCAAGCTGTCAAACAATGCTTAGCTAGCTAGCATGATGTATGTTGATGAGCTGGAGACATTTATTTAGTCTTGTCTTTCTTTTTCCAATTGAAGCTACTCGTACTAAAGGTACAGTACTATAGTTTAGCTTGATGAAGTCTCAGCTGTTGGTTCAGCTGTTGTATGGGACCATGAAATGGCCCATGAATTCACCATGTCCAAAGAATGTTGCTGGAAAGTTGCATGTATGTCCTGGAACACCAACTCGGCAGGTCACCTTCCCAGGAAGCCTCCTTCTCAGGTGAGGATACAGTTCTGTTCCTTGAGTTTCCCTTTGCATTTGCCATGTTTCTCCTGCTGGGACCTTGGATTTCATGAACTAAACCAACTGCTGAGATGATGCTGCTGAAGATAGATGAAGGCTCAATGCCAGGTACATGCAGTCGCTTGCTACAGGAAGAAGCAGAAGCATGGGTGTCGTTGGATATTTGGCTGCTATGACTTCCCCTTCGTTTCTTTTCCAAGATCGTACTTCTCAATTGAATATTCTACCCCCCTTGCAATAGTCTACACTAACTCTTGAGGTCTGGTTGAGATGCCAACAGCGACCGCAACTGTAGTGCAGTGATGCCGCCGCGATCAATAACCGCAGCACCGCACTACTAGCTAGTAGCTAGCGCACTCTCGTGGTGAATGGTGATGGTGCCATCACCAGTGAAACCAAGGATATCGATGATCTCCTTGTTGGAAACCCAACAATGACACTATTTATAATCTCGGCCTCAGTTGCCACCAGCACAAACACACATTATTTATTTATTTTCTCTGTGGTAAACTATGATCGCGAACCTTTGGTCGAACTCCATTACCGCACTGTTTTTCAGGCCATTCGACGAATGACCATTGTTTGAAGCGGTAAAACCCCGGTGCTCAGGAAGTGTCTATGCGTCTGTGCAATTCATTTTTATCTACCGGTACTCGAATTATAGACGACCGATACTACCGGTACCGTAGTAGCTATTACCGCTACAGCGACAGCGACCACAGCGACCACAGCGACACCACCAGGAAGGCGCCCGGTTGGCGATGTTTAGTCGCGTTATAAGCAAAAGTCATTATAAAGTCGCTTTAAAGTCGGGAAAGAAGCTTTTAAAGTCGCGATAAAGTCGTTGTAAAGTCGCGGTAAAGTCGTGAACGACTTTAAGTCGCGCTAAAAGTCGCGGTAAAGTCGTTGTAAAATACAGGGATTTGCTTAGTAAAGTCGCGCAGAAGTCGCGGTATTCGCAAAAGTTGTGGTAATAGTCGCGGTAAAGTCGAGGTGGAGTCGTGGTAAAGTCGCTAACGACTTTAAAGTCGCGAAAGAACGCGACTTTTAGCGATTTTCGCGACTTTCAAGAAAACAGGACTTCATTACGTCACCGGGTGCCTTCCAGGTCCGACACTGCAAATATATTACTAGTATTGCCCTCAACCGACTGAGGGTCTTTCACACTTTTATCGGTGTGTGTGTGTGTGTGTAGGTGTGTGTACGTTGAGTGCTGTGTGAGATGTGTGATGTTGTGTGAGATGTGTGTAGACACTACTAGGAGTTAATCTACGACGAATCTACCATTGGATGTTTATCCATGGGGTATACCGTTGCTTGCTGATTTCCAAATTCTGAGCTTAGGAATTTCGCTGTTTGCTTCATCAGTGGAGCAAGCTGGGGATGGCAAAAGATACAAGCCGGGTAGGCTGTGAGAAAAGCAAGGGTACCCTGTTTGTGGTGATTTTGAAATAGACACATAGAGCCGGTACGGTATAGACCGAAACCAAGCTAAACTAAACCGTAAATCCAATACCTCGATGGGCTGGATGTGTGTGGGTGTGGGTGTGTGTGTGTGTGTGGGTGTGTGGGTGTGTGTGTGTGTGTGTGTGTGTGTGTGTGTGTAGGTGTGTGGGTGTGTGGGTGTGGGTGCCATGGCTCCCCGACATGCCTCTAATCCAGAAAGGATGAGACGGGGGAGCCATCTAGTTCTGGAACCTTCCTACGTGATGTTTGCCTGTTCCCTCTCAATCAGGGAATCATCATCGGGCTCCTCCACGAGCTGCTCATCGCATCCTTCTGCCAAACTGGCTCCAAACCGGTCCATTGTAACTACTTCTGCTCACAGACGGACTGAAGGGAAGATACAGCGGTGGTGGTTTTATACTGGTACCGGTGGGCCAGCTCAGGGTGGATTTTGCCGCACAGAAGGCCAGGATAGGCTTCGTCATGCCACCCTTCTAAGAAAGACTCCGCTGAGTCGAGTCAGAGTCACTCGATGGAAAAGACTTTGCTTGGAGACGACAACACAGACGGACTCGACTCGACTCAAGTGAATAAAGGTGATGGTGGTTAATTAATATCGCTGGGCCAGCTCAGCGGCCATGTGGCGATTTGCACTCCAGCTTTCTACCAGGTACCTCCCGAAGCATCTCACCTTGTTTGCTCTGTTTTTCCGTCTTTGACTGCTGATGGAACATTAGTGAAGTCGGAGAGAGGAGAGGCCATCTCATCAGCTCGGATCCTTAAATCTTAAATCTTGCACTTCTTGGTTAAAAAAAGAAACTGGATCAATATTTATTATTTATTTCTGGTATCATACAGTCGTATAGTCGTACCGGTACAGATAATACTGCATGCATGCGCTGCAATGATGATTTCGGGCGGGTACGGTAATTTCTGTAAGCAAAGTGCTGCATGTTTACCGTACTAGACTGTACCGGTTTGTTGAGTTTTCAGTTATCGGTATGAACGATTTACGTACAGTCGACATGCAGCCTTCTGCAGCTCCTTCTGCTTTCTCAAGCTGTTCGCCACAGTAACAGAAAGAGTACCAGAGAATGAGCAAGTCGAATTGTTCCTTGACAGGATTATTTCTGATGGCGTAGAGATGACTTAGCAATAAAAGTTACGATTACCAAAGGGCATACGAGACGTTCTAAATCAGGGATAGTCTGTTGGAATTGTTAAGTATAAAGGTTACCATGTCTTGTTATTCTTTCATACCACTTAGAGCAATCTTTTTGATCGTCTCACAAAATAATGACTTCAATCCTGCTAGCATCTTGAATTCTAGATTTAACAGGAAAGTGAACACTTACTTCTGAACACTTCTAAACCCTGAAGGTCGCTCCGCATTACCGCCCTTGTTCTGTACCAGTATACATGGTACATGTCACAGCCCCCGTTAAAATTGTGTTTGAGGGCTGAGATTGCTTTTGTGGCGCTGATATTGCTGGTTGATGTGAGGTGTGAGGGCTCTTGCTTTCTCATTTTTTAATCGTAAAGGTACCACTACCAGGTAGCTATTAGTGTATCCATCCACAAAACCCATCACCACGATGAGCGATCCTACTACATCATGTACTACTACCAATAATAGCCGCAGGGTATCGACCATGAAGAAGCGATACGCCAACTTGGCTCCTGGTCTGGCAGCCAAAGCGGGTGTCGTCGAAGAACCCCGCCGATCCGTCATCTTGGAGATGGAGCGCATCCCTTCTTTTCGTCGGCTCAATGGCGATTCGTTATTTGAAGAACCCCTGGAATCCTCTACGGCTGGTCCATCATCCGGAGCCGCACCGGAAGACAATGGATTCATTGTTCGACGGTCGGGCGTCAAGGGACCACGAAGGACGACTGTCACCAACCGACGAACGGGTCATCACGAACGACGACATCAACGCAGTTCCAAGCGAGACAATAATAACCGCCGCAAGCGCGGTTCTATTCAGATTCCAGAAACCAAGGTGATGGTGCAACGGGTCAGTCCTCAAGAGGATGCCTTGTTCATGGACGAATCCTGCAAAACGTTAAACACGGAAACCACCGCCTCCACGACGTCGACACACAGCTCTCTGGAGGACTCGCTCATTTTTGCGACGTCCTCCAGTGAGTTGGAGTTTGATGACAACGACGACGACTTTTTCCGTGTCATGGACGAGTTTGTCGAAGATCGAGATCGAAATCACAAATCTTGCGGTGAGATGCACCTTATGATGATGGACCAAAGCAGTAGCAGTCTAGAGGGACCCTTGTCGGCGTCATGCTCGAGCTTGAAGTACCGCAATCTTGGTCAACGGGTCCAAGCGGCACATGCCATTGTGGCCGACGAAGTCCACTTTGTCCCTCCCAACACAAATCCATCCGATCTGATGCCTTTGGTAGAGACCAATAACCGACACAGCAACAACAGCAGCACTGCCAAAGAGAATTCCACCAGATCTCGTCGATCTACTCGACCGGGACGTCGTGGTCGCCGATCTCGTTCCTTGACCACCGAGGATGATTTCCGAGGTCCACGAAAGCCAATGCCTTTGAACAAGAAGTCTTCGTCCGATCCCACCGTGCAAAAGGACAGTACCACCAGTCATCACTCTCGTCGATCCGGACGTCGCAGCAGCCTCGGAGGATCATCCCCACAACTCGTCATGGACGATGAGACCTTGTCGGATGCCCTGCAACTCCTCGAGGTGGTACAAAAGAGCGATGACTACGGGTTGAAGAAAAATAAGCAACAGATGACAACAAAGGATGACAAGTTGTCCTCGTTGCCACCCCAGTGGAGTCTACCCAAGCTCTTGTCGCGTGGTCATCGACGCACCCTACAGTTGAAACGACAGCAACAGCAAGAAGAAATGTGTCAACAATTCTTTGGTGAACAATAATAAACAAACAAGGGAAAAGCCAAAGAATTGATGAAACTGAACCTATACTAGTAGCTAGACCTGCAAAGAATAAGTTAGAAAGGTGATCGAATTTTTGAAATGCAAATCTTATACTCGTACTCCTGTACTAGCTAGAGCTTGCCTTCTTTACAAAGAGGCGCAAGAAGCTGAAGCTCACCACGCCCTGCCCATTGGCCCCGTCAGGGTATAGTATTGGGTGAGCGTCCCAACACGATGGCAAGTTCTGCTCCATTGAACTTGATGGAAAGTTACAGAAAACTGCGGTGAGGCCACGAACCACAGAAACTCCATGTTGTCTGTTTATTCGTTTACACGTAAGGTATCTGGCGCTGTTGGTTTGCTTGTTAGTTTCATTTATTTGTATTGCCGTTTGTCCGGCTAGCCGTTCTTATCTATGTTGTCGTAGCATAAGTAAGTTTTGGTGCTTGGTGCAGTAAACACATAAAGGATTTAGATCCGAGGTCCAACTCGAACGAGCCCTCACTCTAGGCTCTTCTGGCAATGCACAATTTGTAAACTGTGCAAGAAATGGATCCATATCAAAGGTCGCTTCAGTTAGGTTGTAGATGAGGTGTTGAGTCCATCAGCGACTCGGACGGCTAAGATGTGCGCTGCCAAGGCCATTAGTCTAGTTCCTCTTAATAAACGAATTACTACAGTAGCTTGGTATTCAAACAATTGCTTGCTCCTTTGGATGCTGGGCCGGATACTCATCACAGAGATGGCAAAACTGCTCGTCTCCGATTTCAAAGCAGCACGAAACACAGCCCCGAGGATCCCCAATAGCATATCGTTCCTTGGTGGGATGATTGAATCCTTTAAAGACGTCGCAAAAGATACGTATATTATGTAGGTGTTCCTTGGACTTGAGGCGAATGCCCTTGTCCAGGTATTCTCTTTGTTGGCAGGCGAACTCTTCATCGGACATGCCAGCTTGGTTCTTGTAGTAGTCCACCAGAATATCTCCTTGCTCGGCACCGCTGCCCCGGAAGATCCAATCCATGCGACGCCAAGACGCCACCGTACAAAAGGCTTCCCTCAACGGAAGTTTTCCACAATTCTGTACTTCGTAGGACCCTCCAAACTTAGATTGGACGCTGCACTTGGCTACGCAATCGGTGCGATTGCTTTCGCTTAGGGCCCACTCGACAAAGAGCTCCTGGTCCATAAAGGGCTGGTGAACCCGGGTGTTGTAGGGGACACCCAGCTTGGCAGTGACAAAGGGCAGATCCGCCATGCCGTCTCGTTTCTGTTTCCACGCTTCGGGTTTGTTCTTGTACTTGTCGTCGAAATAGCAGTCGTAGGATCCACCAAACAGCTCGTCGGCATTGTCGCCGACGATAACATCGGTCAAACACAGATGACTGGCCTCTTGCAAAGCCGCGCTAATGATCAAGCTGTTTCGGGTATCCATAAACCCCCACAACGCCAGGGTTTGAATGGTGGGACGAGAATATTCTTCCACGAGTTGCTTCGGCGATAACCTCACAATGCTGTGTTTCATGGGAATGGCATCACTGCTACGTGATTCATTGTACAATCGAGCAGCTTCTTTGGCGTACAGCTCGTCCTCGGAAGGGCGACCATTGGGATTGTTTGGATCTACAATTGACACCGTCACGGCGGCCGCGATGGGAACGTTGCTGCTGGCAGCTGCTTCCAACAAGGCAGCACTGTCCACTCCGCCCGAGAGCAGCAATCCAAGCTTGCCATTCTTATTGGCGGAACATGCCTGGCTAATCCTTTGTATCGACTCGATCAGTCGATTGCGGCATTCCGATGACATGGCGTCGGCGCGGCTGGTAGACGAAGCGTCCAGTGCAGTTCTTCTTCGCCTCATATTGTCTTCGTGTTGCTGTTTCCAGCAGGGTGCTGACGTAGTGGTGGTGGCAGTTGTGGTAGACATCTTGTTTGTCTCAACGTCAACCTACCGTATTGTCAACCTCCCATTGTTTTTTTCTTTCTACGTACCGGTATTCGATTGTTGTTGTGTCGTTGTGTCGGCCTCGCTAGCTAGCTCGTAGTATGGTAGAGCTCGATATGTGTGTGTGGGTCTATTGATAGCGCCAACCCTAACTAAGAGGCTTGCCAATGGTGAGCACGAGATGGGGAAAGGACTGGCGGCTGGTCGTTGGACCCGTCACTGTCTTGGGTGGACATCCCCAACACCATGGCAAGTTCTGCAGCATTGAACTCGATGCAAAGAACCAGCTCTTACAGAAAACTGCAAACTACAGAAACTCCATGTTGTCTGTGCGTTCGTTTGCATGTACGGTATCTGGCGCTGTTGGTTTGCTTGTTAGTTTCATTTATTTGTATTGCCGTTTGTCCAGCTAGCTGTTCTTATCTATGTTGTCGCTGCGCAAGTTTGATACTTGATGCAGTATGCATATAAAGGATTGGTTTGGTAGCAGGACATGATATAATTTGCTCGTCGCATGCATGTATCGTCACACGCCCCCACCATCATCATCTGTCGTGGCGTTGTATTCTGCGTGGTTGCTGCCATTATTGGCACTCAGCAGACTTTTCTTTTCATCATGCTGCGCTTCTGCTGATGCGGTTTTCGCTGGGATTTCGGGATCTTGGACAAGTTCACCCAACAAGATCTTTTCTTGTATCTTGTACCAATCCGTCGTCACAAAGATTCCAAACAAGCTAACATTCATCAACAAGTAGGGGACGTTGATCCACATCCAAGCCGCTTCTAGGCCTCCTCCCATGGTAATTGTTGCATGGTAGGTTACTGGGACACCAAACACCCACAAGAAGAAAAAGTTGACGGCTCCCAAGGACCACTGCATTCCCAACCCAGTGGCCACACCCGAGAACAAGGCAAAGACGGCGACGTTGAAGGAAAAGAGAGCAACTTTCCACCAAATCTTGTGTGCCATGGCAAGTACTTCTGCCTCGGTAGTGAAGAAACCACAAATCCATTCTTGGTAGATATACAGGAAGATTGTCATGATCCCAAACAGAATGGTGCACAAGGTCACGATCCCAATGACCATGGTTTGAGTGCTTTTGACACCATCGACAGGAAGCGGGTGGTTGCCGTTTTTCTTGTTGTGGTTGTTGTTGTTTAGAGTCAATGTAATTCCCATTCGAATGGCCAGAGCCGTACCAAAGGCAAAGGGTGCCAAACAGGCCATCATGATGATTTGATTGGGGATTGTATGCGTACTTAGCTCCAGGACACCGAGTTTACCAATGATCAACCCCAGAGCTTCCCAAAAAATCCATTCGGATTGGGCAAACATGCCACCCGCCCCCAGGTTCATGTATTCCATGAGCGGTTTCCACTGCAATGCCTTTTTCCACGCATCTTTATCAAAGACATCTGGCCACGTTTCCGCCACATAGGGTCGTTTCCAATAGAGATAGATAATCAGTAAAATGGACTGTGACGCTTGAAAGGTGACGTAGGCCATGGCGGATCCAAGAAAGCCAAAGTATCGTGTCATGACTTGCAATGCCACCGGCAAGACAATGCCGCAGGAAAACAGCGATACGCACATGAGCGGTACCATGACGTGCTGTGCCGACAAGAATTTCCACGCGGCGGTAAAGAACACGACAAAGGGCAAGGACACGATAAAGATCTTATACCATGCCGCCGCATGTGCTGCAGCTTCGGGATTTTGTCCCAATGCCAGTAATACCGTTTCCAGGTAGAAGAAGAGGAGTGTATTGGAGGGAACCACAATGGCAGCCGCCAAGACGACACCTCGCATGGCGAGGTATCCCACTTCAGGATAATCCTTTTTGCCAAAGGCTTGTGGTGACAACGTGTCGGCGGCCGAGAAGAGTCCCCAGAGTAACGAGTACGTGCACAGATTTCCAGTCAAGTTGGCCAATGTAAAGGCACTGAGATAGGTTTTACCGAATTTGAGACCGACCACCGATGCTGTGAGGAAGGGACTAATGTTGGTTCCCACGCTCAGGAGGCACGTGGGGAGTGCCAGTTCGAGAAAGAGTCTGCCTTGATGCCTGAATTCGGCCCATTTGCTGGCAGTGGTGGTGTCTGTGGTGGAACACGTGGCATTGGTATCGTCCATAACATGAGCAATTTCTTCTTGCTGGGCGTGGACCAAGTCGGCCACTTCCGAATAGGTTTCCCCCAAAGAGGGTCGACGTCCTTCGGGCATGGTTGGTTGTTGGAGATTTACGGTAGTTGACTTGCCGTTTGTGGCTTGCTTCAACGATGGATGAAAGCTGTGGAGATCTTTCTTGGAACTGCTCGACTTTGGTGTTCCATTTTGTAAGCTGACGCAATAAAGAGCAGGAAGCAGCAAGGTCTTCAATCAATGTATCATCAGGGTTCAATCATGCTCGGTTGCAGGCTTGTTTGTGTGCTGTGGGTTTGGTAGATCAAAGATGAAAAATGAGGAGTGACGAGTCCGACGTGTTCCTACAACCAATGACGTCAGAACAAGCTAGCTAGGCTGGCTAAAGCTGAGCTAAAGATAGCCTTGAACGGTTGACATCACGTCGACAGGTAAAAAGCGAAAGTAGGCAGTAATCTGATTGGCTAACAGTACCGCGGTACTGGTTAAAGACACCTTTACAGTTAACGATAAGACAGCATTACTGATGTCACCACGCTGTCACCATGGAATCCAAGTCTGTAGCAAATCTCTCGCTCCATTACAAAAGCTATCAACACCAAAGGATTCCATTGCCAAGCTTCCTAAGTCTCGAAAGTCATACAATGGATAATGGGAGATCCACAGCTAACCCAAACAGCATGAGGCTGCAGCAGCAAGAGCAAGATGAATCATCACAATCGAACATGGGGCAGCAGAGCCAAAGGAGAGTTTCTCAGGAAAAGAGGACGCATCTTCTACAAGCACAAAACAAAGGACGCAAGAAAAGAAAAGGCGAAGGCCATCAACTAACCTTGACTGGGAAGAGGGCGTTCGAGGCTGTTAAAGACTGCGAAATTTGCAAAGCAAGAGCGTTTGGTCTCCGGCAGCCACACAGACGTCACCATCCTCTCTGCACAAACAACAGAAGAACAAGAGGTATTACTTCTGAAGCCACCCTTGCGCAGTTGAGAGAGGATTCGAGGTTGAAGCGACACTTCTCCGCTCCTATTAAGTTCACTGCTGCTAATTTGAGTGGAGGTAGTGCATTCTTTACCCCTAGGTCGCGAGCAGCAAAGACCTCGCAAACGTCTTCCAACAAAATGGAGGTGGTTTCATCCGGTTCAGAGTTGCCGAGTCTACAAGATGAAGTCAAGAAAAAGATATGCGACAATACGTTTTGCGAACAGCACAAAGACAACAAGGCACCATTAGCCATGCTTGCTCTTGCTGCTGTTGTAGTGGATAATATTATAAGACCAAAAAGAGGAGCCCTGATCTCTTCTTTTTTCGATGGCTTGACGCTGACTGTTCCCACTGTCCACGAGTGCAAGGAACCATATTATCACAGCATCATGGGGCAGAAACTACTCCTTGTTGACTGGAAAAAGATGTTCGGACTTGAGATCCAATGCCCTGCTTGCAACGATGCACCTTTGAAGAATGAGAGAACGAATTTCTCCAAGAACCAGTTGTTGTTTCCTATCTTCAACTTGGACGGTCCGCCTGCATGGTGCATGGTCATGTCCATGACATGCACCAAGTGTTCCTGTCGATTCAATGCCAACGATTGCGCTGTTCTCTCTCGACTTCCTGCCTTTGCAGCAGCTGCTTATCCGGTGGAGCCGAAGTATGCACTTCCGAAGAATTCTCACCTTGGAAGGAGCGCAACAAACGTCTTCGATTTCCTTCTTCCCACTTATGGTAATGGAGAACTTTGCAGTCGGCTACTGTATCATACGATCAACAAGGCGTATCTTCAAAGCGCAGCTTCTTATTATTCTTATATTGGTGCTACCAAAGAGCCAGTCAATGAGCCGGTGACAGAACCTGCGGCAACCACTGCGCCATACCTAGAGAAGGATGGTCAATACATGAAAAATTACCCACCACTTGGTGACACCATCCGTAACACGTACGATGAAGCTTCCAACAACAGTGACACTGCTTACGGAATCAGCGATCATGACCGGCACACGATGGAGATTCAGAGTGTCGAGTGCCATTCCGTCTTTGCTCAAGACCACACCCATGAGGTCACGAAGAACTACTTCCATAAGAAAAAGCTTGGAGCTGATGCAATGTGGACTTGCTCAACAGAAACCGGTGAGATTGCCTGTGCGGTTCTTGTTCCTTCCACCAAAACTATCCACTTCTCCCATGCCGCGAAGCAGCTGTCAGACAGAGAGGAGTTCAAACCAAAGGTCATGTACAGTGATACTTGGCCGTGCAAGAGTCAGTATTGGTCCAAGTTGCTTGGACAGCAAATTCAAGGACGTCTTGGGCTGTTTCATTTCGTCCAAAGGATTATGCGGACTCTCAGAAAGCGACACATCGATTATTCCCATGCAGTTAATGTTCTCCTCAATGCTGTCTACGTGTACAACAACAACGACTATGAGGCACTCCTCACTGCTTTGAAGAACGGTTCTCTTGGAAACAAAACTTACAGTGACGCAGACATCGCTGAACTGAAGGGCACACACACTTTCCGTCATCGATACAACAGATACCTGCGAAAGGAGATTCGGCAACCACAATCCATGAGATTGTTGCTGGAAGATTGGTTCCATCGCTTCAAGTGCACAAGGAGCAGTGATGAGTCCAGACCAGCGCAAGGGAGAAAAGATCCACAAACGCAACAAGGTTTATTTACCAGTGAAACCAAAACAGCTTGGATAAACTGCAAGGAAAAAGCAGAATATTTGCAAGATCCGCTGCCATTAGATGAAATGTATGAAGTCATTCAACCAAATCCAAACTCACCACATGGATTGAAGGAGTACTTGTCAAGGAGAGGTGAATCTGGTCTTGAAGCATTCCATTTGCTCCTTGCACATTTCGCAAACTGTGGCATGCGAAATTCCTTGGCGGACAACCTCAATCTGACTGGAACGGCCCGTTACAACCTCTCTGTCCGACATAAGCTGCGCCTTGCTCGAAGCCCTGCAGACGAAGGTGCTCTTGCCAAAAGGAAGAAAATGCCAGCAGCTTGGGAGTCAGTGGTGCCATATTTCAACCATTCCGAGCTGGTGTGGGTTAACGGATTGGCGGAGAAAGCCGGTGCACCGTTGCCATTTTCAAATGTGGAGGTGTTGCAACAAGACACTGGTGAGCGATTCTTTTCTGAGTATATCCAATGGATGAATGAGACAAATCCTACCTACAATGCAGATGATCGATGTTTGTGTCTGGTATGTGGCGATGGTGATGGTGGTGGCGATGGTGGTGGCGATGGTGGCGACGGTGCACCGAGGATTCAAATTCAAAATGAACTACCGGCTGCGCCGGCATCGCCAACAACGGCTACCAACAATAATGCCGATAGTACGCATCAGCAACAACAACAACAACAACAACAACAACAATTGGCCATGGCGGCTCGCGATCAACAGCAAGGTGCACCAGCGGCTCCAACCGCCCAACAACAATTAGCGTACCAGCAGTTCTGTTATCAAATGATGCAAATGGCAAATTGGTTTCCTCAACAACAACAACCGACGCAACCAAGGCTCTTCTGCTGTGATAAGTTCCGAGCTTGGCGTAATGCCATTCCGAGAAAGAAAGGTAGACCACCGCACGATCCTCATTGTCGAGGATTTCAATAAAAATAAATGAACGTACACGTATACAACTCCGGAGCAGGATTTAAAATAATGAGACTGGGATCAGATCAGAAAAAAAATAGTCGGTAGAGCTGACAGGAGTCACAGGTGTTGATCCAATCGTACAGAAGCCTCTTTGTGTCTTTTTCGCGTCTTTTTCATGTCGTACTACGGGGCAGAGGCGCACCTGAGAGGGGATACAATGGTTGTTTTATTAGTGCAATGTCTATGTAACTGCCTAACGCCCTTTTTTCTATAACTCCGTTGGTGGTGATGACGTACTCCGATGACTCGAATCTGGAATCCTAGGATGTTCTCTCTTCTTCTTTTTCTCTTCTTTCCCCCCTACGCCTGTGCCTAATCCCCCCAAAAAGTCCTGTCGAGTTACCGTAGCATCGGATCACAATCACCAAGTCAATTGCGCCTTCGTTGCTGCAACAAACAACAAATGTCGAAGGGCCTCAGATCCAAGTGAGATGAGATGCCATCAATCCGTCGACGATGGGGATTGCTCCTTGCGGGTCTATCCTGCCTTGTCCTTGTGATCAGATCCGGAGTCCTCTCGACCGGAGTTCTTTCGGAAATAATAGGAGCGTTTGAGACTCCAGATGATGGACCAGAGTCTCTCTACAATGTGACCACTCCTCTTTATGCCGGAAAAGAAACACTCTTACAGAAGCAGCAACTCCTTCAGGGAGTGAGTAGAGAAAGACCACTGTTTGTACTGAGTCTTCCCAACAGTGGGAGTTTGGCACTACAACGATTTTTTGAATGTGCTGGATTGAGACTCTCTGTCGAGTTGGGTCGGTTCTTTGTCAATCAAGAATCAGGAGTGAGAGTTAAGGATCTGCTGGAAATTGGATCCTGCCTTCACAACAACTACGTCAGTCATCTCATGGCAGGCAACCACAGTAGCAATGCCACTTCAACAACAAAAAATTTGCTGCATGGATGTGGCGGGGACAAGTTTCAAGTTTGGATCGACATGGAAATTGCTCGTTTCCGATTGTGCTTCTATCCTTCCATGACTCCTGGCTTCTTGGAACTGCTGTTCCAACAATATCGCCACGCGACAATACTGCAAGTGATTCGAGATCCCATTGATTGGTACGAGTCGCTATCGTTTGATATCAAAGAGCGGTGGCGAGATCTTTGTCAAGCCAATCATCCACTCATCTCGTTTCCAACAACCAATGCCTCCAGAAACGAATGGACTCGGTTCTACCACTGGCATGTCACTCATATTCGTCAATTTGCCAAACAGCATCCTTCCTGGAGATATCTAGAAATATCATTGGATGGTCATCGCCACGATGAGGAAGAAACAGTGATGAACAGCACCAGTCAGTTCCTCCATCATCATTTGGGAGTGGATCCACAGTGTTGGGAGCAATCACACCACCAAAACAAACACAGCAATGTGGACAACACAGACGGCAAAGCTAACACACCACTGCCTCCTGACATTACCTACCCTGTACTCGTCACGGCTCTTTCCAAGAGTGGTACCACTACAATTCACGATTACTTTACATGTGGGCTGGGTGGAGGAACGTCCATCCACACGAGGACCAAAAATCAAACCTCCAAACGACCCGTCTTTATTGGCAAATGTATGGAGTACAATATACTGCACCAACGTCCCTTGCTACAAGAATGCTCCTACTACAAGGTGTGGTCCGATATCCAGTACTTGTTCAGGCCCAAAGGAAGCGACGACTGGAGTCAAGCACACTGCTTCCTTCCTACACTGGGAGGAGGACTGGAAGCATTCCATGATTCCTTTCCAAGAGGAACCATTTTGCATGTCACCCGCAATGCTACCCACTGGATCCAATCGGCCAATCGATGGCAGCAATTGCAAGAACGATGGGCCATGGCGTGTCGTGATCATCAGCATCATCATTCTGGCTTGTTTGTGCCACCGTCTCGTTCGCCGTTTGCAATCTGGCAAGACTTTTACCACAACCATACAGAATGGATACGACAATTTGCACGGGAGCATCCATCGTTGACCTATGTGGAAATCTCTTTGGAAGATAGTGTTGGCACGCCCAAGATTCTCAACCAAGTGTTTGGGATTCCCACATTTTGCTGGGGACATTCCAACAAGAATCATAAGAAAGGAACGTGACTGTTTGTTGTGGTGTCTCCATTACAAAGGAAGATAGAGTGTCTTCGCAGCAGCAGCATGTATCGCAGTGATGAGAGGGTTTGATAGAGAACATGGGAGGGAGGATCCACGCGTTGCAGTACACTGTTCTCCGGGTATTGCAGTTACAAAGTGCTCAACATGCTCCGTGGGCACAAAGTTCATGTAAACAAGTTGTTGTCATGCAACAAAATGCTTGTAATAAAGGACGAGAGGAGTCCTAGCTAGGGAATAGCATGACAGTCAGAGAGGTTGCCAGCTGTGTCCAGCATCCGTAGGTTGGTCGTTTGGCTCGCCTCCGAAAGGCAGGGTTCCTGACAATCCTTTGAAACCCATGGCCTTGCGCCGAAGCTGCGACGATTCTCCAATCTCAGTATGAACGGTTCCAAAAAGATCATTATTTTAAGTTCAATTTTTGCAAGCTTGTCATGGTCTAGAGGTACCGGTCCCTGGCATCACCTGTGAAAGCTCTCCGGTGAATCTATGTTTGGCATCAAAGCCCAGCAATTCCAATGACGATAGCAAAACAATCTCGTTTATTCTGGTCATATTATGGAAGTGTTCAGTGTGAGAAACAAATATGTGGGGTAGAGATCGCGAATTGTCCCGTTCTCGTGACATGCATTGAGCCGTCTGGTCCCTCTTGTGGGTGAGCACTCTTCTACATCGTAACTCAAGAAAGTTCGAGAGTTGGTCACCTGAACGTGCCCATCTAGAGCATCGTACCGGTACAGTGAAAAACCAAGTCCAAAAGCAGCCAGTCTCTTCACCATTATTGAGGGTTGGTTGACCACTTGCATCTTGCCACTCCAAGACAATCCTCTTGGGTGGCTAGATCTCGACAGAGAGGTGCGCTACCAGTACAGGAAACTTCTTTACACGTAGAGGAACCAGGAAGATTGCAATTGCTGTTCGATGTGCACTCACAAGTCGAGCTTGCACTGGCACAAGTCAATGCGCATTGGGAGATTGTCGCGAAGCAGTCGTTGCCACAGATTTCAGTTTCAAATAGGTCCTCACAGGCAGTTGGACTTCCCGAGCAAAATGGTTCCATTTCTTCTTCCTCAAGTGCAGTGCAGTTTGTTGGAGCCGTACAAGCTTCGTAGCCTTCTCCACCCAATGCCTCTGCCGCACAACTTGCAGCATCAAATATTTCATTCTCACATTCTGACATGCAGCAGTCAGGGCCATCCACAAGAAGACAGTAGTTTTGTTTGGCATGTAAACAATCGGGCAATGCCCCAGTTGCACCAGTAGTAGCATTTGGACTTGTTAGAGAGCACTCTTGATCAAAATTGGCGCAATCCTGCAACAGACACCCAAACATGTCCAGCCATTCTTCACGGCATTCGGTAACAACAAGTTCTTGTGTCACATTGACGCCCAAGAAAAGCGAGGGTATTATCACCTCAATGCTACCGGTATCAACCTGAGCATCCGTCAAGCCGAGCAAGAAGACTAGGAAGCAGAGGCCAATGGCGCATGATGAAAGTGTACCTGGCTCTTCCATGGAAACAGCTATCTACCGGTATAATGCAGGCAACAACTGCTGCATGAGAGCACAGAGCCGATGGACATGCCGCCTTTGTGGTGGCCACGTCCGGTTTGCAAATAATGAGGACCACAGATTATTGAAATTTGAATGGGAGGAGAAGAACAATCCAAGTTTTTCCAGAGCCTTCCAGAATAATCTTTGATCATCCTCCCGGAGAAATGGGGTACCTGGTAAGATGTCACCGTGTAGCCATACTGTACTACTAGCTAGCTAGCTAGTAGCTAGTAGCTATGCACAAATCTGACCCACTCTTCTAGCTAGTAACTCACCCTTATTTTAGGGTCGGGTGTCGGGCTGGACTGCCTCTCAACCGGTAGCCCAATAGCTAGAGGTGCAAGGTTTTTACCCTTGGGCTGCACACCCTATACCGGTATAGACGTGCAGATGTTTTGCCCTGAAGATGTACAGTACATAGAGATGGCAGAAATTTTGCCCTCAAGCTGCACACACCAGAGGTGCAGAATTTTGGCCCTGGAGGTGCACACAGTACTAGTAGGTGCAGAATTTTTGCCTTGGAGGTGCATGCAGTAGAGGTGCAGAGATCTTGCCCTGGAGGTGCACTGCCTGTGGTAGAACCGCCTATAGTAGAGGTGTTGAGTCTTAACCCCCAAGGTGTGTGCCCTAGAGGTGCAGATATTTTGCTCTTGAGGTGCACCCAGTAGAGGTGCATTATTTTGCCCTCAGTGTGCCCTCTCTAAGGGTACAGAGGGCTAGATTCGATTGAATCATTCGATTCTCTCTCCATACCCAGATCTAATGGAGGTCTCACCTCAGGTCCAAACTCCACCCAAGAGGACCCACTCCTAGCCCAAGCGGCTGTTCGAACACATGGACCTAGCTATGAATAGCTCCATGTTGTCCTCTTCCTACAGTCGTACCCTCCACTTCTTCCGGTGGCAGTGTTTGAGACTTGAGACTCTATGGTTCGGACAGCCAATGGAGTCGATCAATCGTGCTCGGCTGGCGTTCTAAATAAATCGACCGGTTAATAGTGACCCAAACGTAGCTTCAGAAGCGAATTTGTAACTTCCCAGCCAAAACCCCTCCGATGTAAGGCATAAGAGGTTGGCTTCGAAAGGTTTAGTGGAAGACACTGTCTCAAGCCCTACATCGGAGGGTCCTTTGGAGGGCGACGCCAACAATCTTTCTTAATGGCAGAAATGTGAGCTTCATTTCGCTAACCCGAACGCTAAACCCATGTGTTCGCTATCCCATATCCGCGTGATTGAGCCTTTTGTATCCCACAAAGTTAGTCACACACGAGAGACAGCATGCGTCCATTCTAAACTTGTGTAGAAACTGTACTAGAGGGCGTTATTCTGCAACTAAAGAGACGATCAACGCCTTTATCGTGCTGTTGATGCCGAGAACCAATGCTATCGAAGAAGAGTTGCCTCAAGAGCAATCGACACTCTCTCAAGTGTAATCAATCAATAGTAGTGTCAGCCTTATCAAGATGAGCTTTTCTTCCTCTGGCCGCTCCACCAGGAGCAACAGCACTCTAGGCAAAGATGATGATGGTGTTCCTTCTGTTGCTGGGCCTCCAAGGAAGTCGCTTCGCTCAATGAAGTATTGTACCGAATTCCCTCTTCCTGTCAAGTTGCAGTGCTCTGGTTGCAGAAACTTTGCCAACTCAGCTGCTCGCAAGCCAGACTTTGATCGATCCACTCTGAAACACCACACTATGCAATGCAAGAAGCCATGGACCAAGTCTCGCAAGTCTGGAACCACGACGGATCAATATGTTGATGGCAACATCATTCTTGTTCATGACTACATTGATAAGCACTTTGTTGTCAACCTCAGTCGCTACACTGAACCTTCACCAGTCAAGGATCTGCCCATGGATGTCGTGGCGGAAGAGGATGTCTCGCCGATTTCGGATCTCACGGAAGAAACTGATGGAAGAAAGCGGCAGAAAGAAAAAGAAGAAATTCTCACCTATGGAACAATCTTCAGCAGTCAGGGCAACGAGTTCGAGATCAATGGTATCCCCAAAACCCATCAGTTGGTTGCCAAGAACAAGGTAGAACGCTGGAGGAACATCGAAGACAAAGTGAAGTTGCTACAAGCAGGCTTTAATTCCCATCGCTATGCTGCCGGATCTCATCTTTCTAATTCTTTGTTGGGTGTTGCACTTTCCAGTTGTCCAGCGCTGCCTTTGTCTCAAGCAGCCAAGATCCTTCCACTTATTGTGGGTTCCTTGCTTGTTGATCATGGACTGTTGGAGAACAACAACGTGGAGAACTTCTGTCAGTCTTTTCCATCGGAAGCCTACATGCGCAATCAAATTTACCACATGGCAGCAGAGAACACCGTGGATCTTGCCAGCAAGATCAAGGGAAAGCTTGTCTTCATGTCTTGCGATAAGGGAAACAAGAAGGGCATTAGCCACTTTGTCAAGTTTGTGTCTTGGTTCGAGAACAACAAAGTGCAGTGTCGATGTCTTGATGTGGATGCTTCCGAAGGAACGTCTGAAGAATGTGCAAAGGCCATTGTTGCATCTTTGAAGAAGGTTAACCTGAACCGGCTGCAAGGACAAACAACTGACAGTGGTGGTGGTGGTGTTTTGGAAGGTCTCGAGCGATGTCTTTCCACGTTGGGTGTGTGTTCGAACGGATACTTGGTTGCGAGTTGTTGTCTGCATGTGTTGCAGTTGACATTATCTGTTCCAGTGAAGGCTTGCATTGGCGAAGGTGGACTGGACAAGAAGAACGCCATGCAGATGATCCATTCCTTCTACGATCTGCAAGACAATTTGGGAGTTGCCTTATGGAAGGTCCATGTTGCTGAGGCGATTGTCTTCTTCATGAGCGATACCGAAGAGCCTTTTGTTCCACGCTCGAGAGCTGATGAAGAGTTCAAGGAGAAATGGGAGATGTTGAAAGGCTTCTATCTTTTCGAAGGACCAAGCGAGGACCTATTGAAGAAGATGGCGATGACTATTCCAGCTCCGGTGTTAACTCGCTGGCATACAGTTGGAGAAGTTGCCAAAGTGACACTGCCTACTTATCTCATTATCTATCGAGTTGCACAACAGGTTGTCAATGCCACAAGGAGCGACTCGAAGTTGAACAAGGTGGCTTCTAATCTTATGTCGCTCATGGTGGAACAAGAACTGTTCTGCGACTTGGCACTTATCCATTCCTTCCACAAAGGATATCTCTCCGAACACTTCAATTGGATGCAAGACAGCGATGACCTCTCTGATCGGAAAGGCTTTCAGGTGCATCAGATTGTTGTTCGGTACTATCTGATCATGGATGATCTGCACAAGATGAAGACTTCACTGGATCGCGGAGTGCCTTGTCCTTCCTTGATTGACTTTTGGAAGGCATATCAAGCTTGTCCGGAGGAACTGCAGACAATACAGATGAAGAAGGCAAAGAGGTTTGTTCAGGAGGCGATCATCATAGCCCACAAACACTTCTCCAGGTACACATCGAAGAGCCTCTTACCTGCTGCTCTTCTAACAGAGAATGGCATACCTGATGTCATTGCGTCCATCATCACGGAGCGAGAGTACATTCCCAGCGGGATCTACTGCTATTCGGAGGTCCACGGCAAACGTCTTATCAATCTCAGATTGTTCCACGATTTCGTGAAGAGATCTGTCATGTCGAACAAGGAACAAGACACCGCTTATGCCCCCATGGCACTGCATATTGCTGACTTTCGCTTGAAGAATGTCCATTTGAAGTTGTCCGAAAAGGAAGAGGAAGATGAGGCCACGTATTGTCGCAACTGGCTGTTCACTAACTTCCTACCTTTGGCGTCACAGACACAGTTTGTCGAGAGTGGTGTCAAGGAAGCAGCACAGGTTTGTCGATCTGGCGACAGGTCTGAGCCATTGCGATCGGCTTATGCAATCAACAGAGCCAACAATGTGTTGCCTATGGGAACCATCAGAGAGATGAAGAACAAGGAGCAGATTGTGGGAATGATGATGCAGGCAAAGATCCACAATGAGCGGCAAGTGGAGTTGGCTGAAGAAATGGATGGCTATCTTGATCAGCTCAAAGCCACCAAGACAATGATGCGCAACACTTCAAGCATGAGCGCCTTCAAACACTTGAGGACCAAGCCAAGGCAACACTCCACAAGAACAAGAAACAGAATGCCAAACAGAAGAACACTGGAGTGGAGCGGACTTTGAAGATTTTGGGCTTGTTTCCTTTTGGCAAGCTTGTCAAAAAGCTCCACCATGATGCTCTCAGAGTTGAGTTGATGCATAGAGGTTGCACTGAAGAGGAGGTCGCAGGATGGGGAGTCACTGACAGGAAGAATAAGCTCAAAGCCCTTGAGAAGTTGCGAGTGAAAGAGGATGGCAAGGAAGCAGTCAACAACAGCAAGCTTGGCTTTAAGGTCCTCTCCTCTGCTTCATTTCCAGACAACTAACACTGCCGCTCTATCCTACATCCCATTATCCACTCTGGGTGGTGCGCCGCACCTCAATGGTAACATGTTAACAGAACTGTTGTTGCCTATTGCTTGTTACCCATCTTTGCTACTGTTGTTGTTGTGGCCGTTGTCTATTTTTCGGCGAATCCGACTGACGTCATGTACCAGGCCTACCTGCGCCGCGCGTAGGCCACTTTCTCCTATGGTAAAATCGATCAACTCCATTGGCTGTCCGAACCATAGATTCAGTGGTAAAATTTCTTCACAAGTTGGACTCCTGAATAGCCTGTTTGATCTTGTTGTTTCGGACAACGATCTTACAGGGCACCTTCCTTCAGAGTTTGGACTGCTTACTGCTTTAATGTTTTTACATTTGCAGGACAATCAGTTCACAGGGCTCGTGCCATCAGAACTTGGAAAAATGTCGAGATTGGCTGTTCTGAATCTAACTGGCAGTGTTGGACTGTCCGGCACTATCCCAGAAGTGCTCTGCCACTTGCAGGACGATTCTTGTAAGTTTTGGGACACCTATGCTTGCTTTTTGGGGTTCGATTGTACTGCAACTCTGTGTGGATGTGATTGTGATTGTCCCCAAATCGGAAACCATAGTTAAATTTGCATAGTGCCGCTGTAAAGATGCCACATGTAGCTAGGAGTTCAGTCGAATGCATCGATTCTAGTTGCAACAGTTGTGATGGCTCTATAGAATGCTTAGTCAGAGGGCACGCATCAACGGTTCTGATCTATGCATGACCACCGGCACCTAACTACGTCGTGGTACGCAGCAAGTCGCACAGCCACAGCGTACGTACTCTACAAATCGAATTGCTCTACTGATCCCTCGTCAATACAGGCGTCGCACGCAAGTGGCTAAAGGCGACACGCTGTCGGTTGGTCGTGGTGGTAGGTCGTACCGTCTGTAGTTTGAAAACGCGTTCAAAAAACTGCCGACGTTCGCTTTGTCAGCTTTTTCTTCTTCTTTGACTTTGCACTCGCGTTCTTCTCCACTACCACTGTGGATGGCGGCACGTCGTCGTCGTCGTCCAAGAAAATTGCCGCCATCAAGTCATGATCAACACTAGTACTAGTAGCAGCAGATTCCTGTTGTTGTTGAAACATTTGTCGAATGGCATCGACCGTCTCTTGATATCGTTGAGCGATCCGATGTTCGGCAATCCCCGCATACGTCCACCGTTCCAGTTCGTCGCGCAACCGGTCGTATCCTCGTCGACACGTGGCCAACTTTCCGTACAAGGCTTCGTTCTTTTCCGATTCGTGTTGGAGATGAACTTCTTCCAATTCCTGTACACCGTTCCAAATGTACTGCGTTTCCTTTTCCAACATCATTGTTTTTTGATGCATATCAAAGAGATTGACTTTGAGCGTTTTGTTTTCTTTTCGTCGTGTGGCATTCTGTTGTTTGAGATGGGCAATAATATCCTTGCTCTGTTGCACAGCATTGGACAGATCTTCTGTATTATTATTCGCGTTGGCAGTGTTGGCGGCAGTAAAGCGTTCCTTGAGTGCCGCCACTTTGGCCGCTTCTTCGGCGAGTTGATCTTGTTCGGCCTGTTGTGTTTCTTCTAATTGCTGTTGTTGTTTTTGGACCTTGTCTTGTAGTTTTGCTACTGTCATTTCGATTTCCGTGAGATCCAATTTTCGTTGGGGATCATTGTCGTGATAGAGATCATCGAAAAAGAAGGAATGCCTCTTTTTGGTTGGCACTTGCGGCGCTGCATCCACCAAGTGGAGCACGGGCAACGGATCATGGGTAATGGTCGTTTTGTTGTTGTTGTCGTCGTCTTTTTTATTGGAATTGCTGCGTCGTTTGTTGTTGTTGGTTGGTCGTTTCGTGCCGCTTCGGAGTGGTCGTCCCATACTCGTGAGCGACCTAGATCGTTGTCGTGTCGGACGTGCTTTGGTGGGTCGGGACATCCTTTTTTGTTCTCCATTCGACGTCGCATCATGGGTTGTATCATCTTTATTATTGTTTGGTTCAGTCGTCGTCGTTGATTTGACGGTGGTGGTTTTTGGGTCCTGATCATCCACCACAACCACGTCCTTGTCGGTTGCGTTACCAGTAGCGCTGCCAGTCGGATCCGTAATAGCTGTTGCAGGCACCTTTGGCTCGTCTTTCTTGGCGTTGGTCGTTGGCGGTGAGAAAATCTTGGTTTCCTCCTTTTCCGTGTCAGGCTTTGCGTTTTTTGTCGCAGCCGTCTGCACCAACAACAACTTTTGTAAACTTGGATCCATCGATTGCACTTGTTGACGTGCTTGCTTTTTCTTTTGAGCATTCTTTTGTTTTTGGGTCTGTCGCAATTGTTTTCGTGCGACATTGCGAGCCTGGATGCGTTCCAAGGCGGCATTGGTGTCTCGGACCAATAGTCCTTGAGGTGGTGGGTCGTCGGTGTGACTACTACTGAGAGTACTGTTGCTACTGACCGAGTCGTCTTGAAAGACATCGTCATCTTCTGCTTCTGTCTGTCGATTTTGACGTTCTTGCAGTGGCACGTTCAAATCGGAGAGCGAAGACGATCGATGTCGTCGTGGTCGGACTCTGGTTGGTTTGGGTGATGAAGATGATGATGATGAAGATTGTTGTGGTTGTTTCTTCTGCTTCTTGTTGGTTGTGGTGGTTGTAGTAGAAGTAGGTATTGCACTGTTCTCTGTAGTGTTCTCTGTTTCTTGTTTCTCTCCTTTTGGTTTGGCTGGTGGTTGTGGTTGTTTCTTTGTCTTTTTGGTTGCTGTTGCTGCTGCTGTTGCTGTTGTGCTGGCAGGTTTCTTTGGTTTTGTGGTTGTGATTGGCAAAGAAGAAGATGCGAGATTGGGCATGGAAGATCTCTTATTATTGGATCCCAAAGCACCCCTTGCCAAAGGTTTTCTACCAGTAGGTGGACTCTGGTTTGCTTTCTTGCTATTGGCAGTTTGTGGTTTTTCGCTTGGTTGGTTGGGATCACACTCTACTTCGTCTTCTTCCTGAATAGTAGTGGCGGCTGCCGAACTGATCTTCTTGGTATTCTTCTTGGCCGGCTCCAGTGCTGGCAATAGTGTATTGTCTGCACCGCCCGTCGTGGCTCTTCGATTTCTTCGTTGTCGACGTGAAGCAGTCGTTGCAGTTGTCTTGTTGTTGTTGCTATTGTTGGCGGTTCGAGTCGACGGTTCTTTCCACGAAGTACTCATTATTTGTTCTGGCTGGCTGTTATTGTCATCCAATAGCATGCTTCGAGTCGACCATTCCTTCAGAGATGCACTCATGCGACGATTCGATTTGGCGGCCTTGGAGGACAGTTGCACATCCATGTCGGGAAGCTTCTTCTCTCCCGTCTTATTGATAGTATTCTTACTGGTATTGTTGCTGTTGTTCTGACTGGCCGTACCGGTAGTGCTGCTAGAAGCCGTCGCATCGTCCAACGATGGGCCACTGCCACTCATCCGAAAGCTTCCGGCGACTTTGCTTAAGCGTTTCATGGTTACTTGCTTGCTTGCAATCACCAATTACTGCTACTCTACTCTTTGCAATCTAATTCAGAACAACACAACAACACAACCAACTGTTGAGGGCTTGTGTGTGGTCCTCTCTTCAATCCCTCAATTGGCTCTTTGTGACAATAATAAGCCATGCAACACATCCAACGTGAGCTTCCAGTGTAAAAGCCTCTCCTTCCTGAAAATGTGCCGGCAAAAATATTCTTTAATTCCTGAAATGACTTTATTAATTCCTCATGCATTTTATTAATTAATACCTGTAACTTAATCTCGATCCCCCAAAAGGGTCTGTTTAGGGAGTCGCCAAACTTTCGTTAATTCTCTAATTCCTACAGCGTCACCGAAATTGTCGAGGGTTGCCAAAGTCTGTTTTCTCAGAGCTCTTGTGGGTGGTGTGCGTGCAAGTTGGGAAGAGGGAAAATGGTTCTTTTCGTGGTCCCTCGAATGGCTAATGAGGACTATTGATTGTCTAAAGAGGTCAAAATTTGTCCAAGTTTAGAAAGGCGGAATTGGCTTGGTTGTTTTATTGACCACGGTTGACCACGCCTGACCACCCCTGACCACGCATGACCACGCTTGACCACAATTTCCACTAGTAATTAACTAGTAAAAGACCATGGCTGACCACACTTGACCACGGCTGACCACACTTGACCATGGTCAATTGTGGCGAAAGTGACAGTTTAGCTTGAAATTCGGACTTTTATGGTCAAAGATGGTCAAAGTATGTCCAATCCGGTCTTGGTTTGGAGCACCACTGTCTCTTTTCCCTCTTCCCAGGTACAGCGTGCAACCAGAGTTCAGAAAATCTACCAAGCTACTACATGTAATAGAATAGTACTTGTAGGTGGATTATCTACGGAAGCTGTATCGTAATGCTCTACCCTCTACCCTCTCGAGTTAGTGCCTCCCCAGTGGGTATGGTATGGTATTTAAGTATGCATACCCTCCAGGACCCCACTTTTTAGTAATAATAAGCAGAGCAATGTAGATTACATACATCATCCAGACTCACAGTATATTTGCTCTTGGAATGGACTGGTTGCCACCCACCCACCACTGCAGATTTGTCTTTTGTGAGGGTTGAGCAGGCAACATGCAGACACTGCTGATCCTCTCACTTGCTACCGTAGAGCTGCTCGGATTGACGCACCGAAACCATGCAACCTCTCAACCTAAACTAATTTCTGAATGTTCCCAATTCCATCCCATGCCTACCACTGCTTTCAGTTATGGAATAACTGTCAACCACTGTCAAGCAACCACTGTTTCGCAAAACAGTGCTGTCTTTCACCATTGCCTACCACTATCTTTCACCACTATTTACCAGTGTCAAAAAGACAGTGGTTGACAGTGCCACTGTTTACCACTGTCAACCACTGTCTTGGTCATGGTTTACCTTGGTTGGCATTGGATGGCACTGGATTTCTCCACCCTTAATGCTCGGAGTCCCAAAATCTGGGAGTGGGGTCTCCCAGATTTTGGGAGTCACTACAGGTAGGTGTGGTAAATATTGGGTCAGATTTCTATTTTTTCCCCGCATCTACCTGAATATCCTGTCTTCCAGGAAAATGGATGCCTTTGAATTGTCGGTTGATGGTTGATGAGTCGAGTCTGCCATCATGTACAAAATAGGTTCTGTTGAACCGGAATCGAAGAAGACGGCTGTTGAGGTGTCCCTTGTTGCATTAGAAGTGGTCGCTTGTTGCATTAGAAGTAGTCGCTTGTTGTTTCATTAACGGTAGAGTCGCTCAGTCGTCGTCGCTCCGTACAATGAATTCATCACTTTTATACAGATCGGAAGAAACATTGTTGAGGCGTCGAGTAGTAGTCGCTTGTTGCCATCGCTTGTTGTTTTAGGAGTATTGGTCGCTTGTTGTTGCATTAGCGGTAGAGGCGGTGTCGTTCCATGGAAGAGAAGTGGTCGCTCCGTGAAGAGGCTCCGTGGAAGAATCGATCCGTCGACCGATCGATCGAACGAACGGCTAGGCAAACAAGAGGAGCCTGTCATGGTGGTGAGTAGTAGCTTTTGTTAAGAGGAGCAGCCGCTGTAAAGAGGATACACCGGTAGCATCATCTTGATAGAGTAACATAGAGTAAAGGTACATGTACCGTACTGGTACGACTGTAGAGGTATCGAGTTCGCAGGGGTGACTCCCAGATTCTGGGACTCCGAGCGTTAAACCCCCAGGACCGTCCGACGTTTTTCACTCAGGCTTTAAAACTTGACACGACTGACTCCAGGAAGGCACCAGATTTACCGGTTTTCTGGAACCTCGCTAAAACAAACTCACGGTATTTCAATGTACTCGTCCGCGAATCGTGCAGAACGAATGCGTATTCGCGCAGCGCGAATGCGTATTCGCGTGCATTCGCCCTTAATTCGCGGAGCTTTACTAGCATATATACGCACTCATTCGCTCTAAACTCGCTCTAACTCGCGGCATTCGCGCGGACTCGCGCAGCACGAATAGCGCGAATCACGAACGAATCGCGCTAACTCGCACACCACGAATACCGCGAGTTTGAGGGAACTGGACCTCTGTGGAAACGTCATTCGTGGCAAAATACTTAGGAGACGATACTCCGAGGAATAGGAGACGATCGAAATGATTTAAGAGACGAAAGCAATCGTCTCCTATATTTAGGAGACGATTCAGTAGGAGACATTCCAATTAGGAGACGAAAGTTTCGAAATAGGAGACAATCCGAAAGATTTAGGAGACGATACCATACAGTTTACATGGTACACTTAGGAGACGATCCGTTGAGAATAGGAGACGATCCGTTGAAAATAGGAGACGTTTTAAGAATAGACAAAAGATTTAGGAGACGATCCGTTTCGTCTCCTATTTTTAGGAGACGAAATCCATGAAATAGGAGACGATCAAAAGGATTTAGGAGACGAAAAGTAGCACGACTCGAGTTTCCACAGAGGTCCTGGGTGGATCGCAAAAATCGGCTGCCTTCCAGAACAATTAAGGGCTTGTTTTTAAGGGCTTGTTTAGGGGCTTGTTGAAGTTTTAAGGGTTTGTTTTAAGGGCTTGTTTATTTTTAAAAGGGCTTGTTTGCACCTGATAAGGGATTGTTCTATGGGGCTTACACGAAGGCTTAATGGTTTGTTTTGAGAACTTAAGGGCTTGTTGTTAAGGGTTTGTTTTTAAGGGCTTGTTTAAGGGCTTGTTGAAGATTTACGGGCTTGTTTAAGGGCTTGTTTCCAGTCGTGGAAATTTGAAGTTGTTTAAATCCTGAGTGAAAAACGTCGGACGGTCCAGTCTAAAACTAATCTATGGTGAGTAGACCACCCTTTTTTTAAGTTGGAGCAAGCACGACCGCACCGTTTGAATCTTCAACGTCCGGCACCTCTCGCCTTTGAGAGATTGAATCCTCATTCAATTCGGGAAGCTATTCGGGGTCTGCTTCTATCTTATTAGAAGGGCACGATGTGTCACTTTGGGCCAGAGTTTGTACACGGCCAGCTAGCTAGCTAGAGGAAGCACCGGCCAGCCATTTGCTTCAAACTGAACCACCACCCCTGCCTTGATCCTCAGCAGAAGACGAAGATTTGCGAGGTTTGTTTCTTGGAGTCTTTAGCTCGGATCTCCGTTCTCCTCTTTGCCCAGCGTAACAACAACTCAAGAAAGCAAGTATCGAATCCAATGACAGCGGTAAGCGTGCGGTAATTGATAGCAGCTTGGCTTGTGGAAGATCGAATTTGTTGATTCCTCAGGTTTTGTCTGCGAGCATCTGCGAAGCATCGAATCTGCGAAGATCCTTCGAGAGGAGATTCCCTCATTCATTGGAGTGAATCTTCCACCCTGACAACCTCAGAAACCAACCGTATCTTTACTAAAAGAAGAAAGACATGTACTTGTATCAGTATTTATTCAAAAGATCCAAGTGATGTTTGTCTTTCCTTCCACTTCCCTCCATTCATTGTTTTCTCGCAATTTTTTTGCAAGCACCAGGTTTCAGGGATCATCCGTACATCAATAAATCCAGCGACCATGAAGGTATCCTTAGCTCTTTCGCTTCTTGCTCCCGGCCTTGCTTCTGCTCAGCACTCAATGGATCAACCCCACTACCTTGTTGGTCTTTTGAACTATCCAAATTCCTTTGTCCCAGAAGTCCTTCAAGGGCACACCAGTGGAACCTACATTGATCCTGATGCCTCCAGCGGCGTAACAGTTCCTTTCTCCGATGTCCCAGGAGTTGGGTTCAGTGATATTGAAATGTATTACGATGATAATGGAAGCCCCGTCAGTGGGCAGTTTTACGTTTTAAGTGATAATGGTACGAACAAGCAAAACAGAACAGTTTCAATGCTAGAATGATTTCAGTGCATATCTCACACATCCTGCCTCCCCTCCTCCCCTCGACAGGCTTTGGGTGAGTTGGTTCCGTTTCCTCTAGCGAGCTAGGAGAGGAGTTTTGTCTATTGTCTATGAAACATCTTTGGGGGTGGCTTTTTAACACTACTATTTGTCTCTATGGATGCTGGTACAACAGGAGCTCTGACAACTCCGGAGGTGAGCCAAATAGCCGTCTCACAAATCTCATTTGTTGGATGTTCCCTTCTCGTTTGTAATGAAATTGACTCATACCCTCCTTTGTTGGACTCATAGATTATGCTCTCAATATTCAGCACCTAAAGATCCAGAAGCCTTTCACATACCGTCATGGAGAATCCAATTTCGAAAAGTACACAGTTGTCGAGAACTTGGGAACGGCTCTCATTCACGACCCTGAAGGTTTCATTCTCTGGGAAAATGGAGCGGATATTCAGGTCGCCTACCATACCCCAGACGAAACCTGGGATGACTACAAGGATCTCCGTGTGTTGACCGGCCGTGACTTTGATGTGGAAGGTCTCGCCGTGATCAACCAGACCTGCGCCGTTGTGGGTGATGAATTGATGCCTGCCATCTTTATGGTCAACCCCAAGACTGGCGTTGTCCTCTCTCCGTTTGTTCGCACTCCCGATATTGACAGTGCTGGAAACTTTAACGGCGCCTTCTTGTCTACCCGTGGTGACAAGGTCCACTGCACCATTGAAGAATTGGAGAGCGACGATCAATGCACTTCTGTTGACTCTTCCGTGGTCGATGATAGTGAATACCGCAAGCATGACCCTTCTGGCGGTTACGAGGGGTTCTCCCTTTTGGCAGACGGGACCATTGCTGCCTTTGTGGAAAAGAACTCAGGAGACACGTCCCTCAGCGATGAACCGGGCGTCCGCGTTTACCATGTTATCCCCGGTGATTGCAGCTCTGGATCAGCGCCAGTCTTTGAGTCCTTTTTGGGGTACTACAAGTTTGAACACAATGCTGGCAACATTGCCGATGTCTCGGCAATCCCTGGATCCTCCCGCTATGTGGCAGTGATTGAGCGCAATGGATTCCCATCTGGGCACATGTTCCCCGCTCCTCGAATGCCAGCAAACAAGGTCTGTATCGTGGATCTGTTTGACCTGGACCAAGACATGGTGATGCAGAATAAGAAATGCATCCTCAACTACCACAATATTGACGATCCTTGGGATGTGGACGGTAACGGTATCTTCAAGTATGCTCAGACTCAAGTGACAAACGAAGCACTGGTTGTCGTGGATGACTACTGCATTGTGGCCGGCACTGACACCAACTACCCCTGGACAAATCAGTTTGCTCTAGATGAATCCGTGGTACCATATTACGAAGAGGTTGCCGACGCTCGTTTCATGGTGGTCTGCTTTGTGGAACCCATCTTCAACTTGGAAATGTTGGCCGAGTTCATGGCAGCCCCCGATTTCTTGGCTGTCGTTCGCCAAGATCCCAATGAAGTTTCCGAAGACGGCTTGGGTGGTGGCAGCAGAAGGAAGTTGCGTCATCAGCGCCATTAGAGTCGAACGATGGTCGAACCTGTGTCTCTTGCTTTGCCTTCCCTGTTTTCACGCCATTTCCCCTCGGGTCAGTATCAAGCTAAGTCACCTCTACTTTAGAAAGTTTGTTCAATCTTCTCGTCCTCCGTATCGTGGGTGCCATGTTTTGACAAGGACTTTGAAGAGGCGGGAAATTGAGTGCATCGAGTGGAGTGTGTCCCAGCGAGCCGATTGCAGATCAGCAGATCAGGCCGACTGAAGTGGTTGAAGGGAGGGAGTGGGCAAGGGGAGGGGAACCAGCAAAAGGGCAAAGATAAGCGATAGATAGCCAGGGCGTCACAGCCATCCCAATGCTGGGAGTCGAGCATACAGTTTTGTTGCATTCGTTTTGCAGGAGGAAGGCAGCTTTTCAAAATCTCAGTTCAAAATCCAAGCCCACGGCCATCCTCCCTGGCGGATCAGTGCGGTGTTCTGGGATCCAGCAGCCAGTCAGGTGTCAATCGCCTACTTCTTCCCCAATCCTTGCACTATCAATCTGGCATGTACATCGTCCAGGGATACTGTACGTACCCACTCTCTGTATTTAGTAGCCGTAGATAGTACTAGCCAACTAGGAGCCACTGCCTTGCACATGTCATCTACAGTGCGGAAGCTGAGACGGTGGCTAGGAGTTCAGGAAGACTCGACTCCTCAAGAATGCGCTTTCAATTACGTGGATTGTTCTCGTTTGCATCCTTGGAAGTTCCATCCATCTATCCCCACAATGGATCCCTCGTCTCTTCCCTTCCTGGTCCCACGTACAGGTGGCACTGCTCCCAGTTTCTCCTCTGTTTTCTACCTGGCCGTGTCCCATCCAGCAAATTGACAATTCAGCCCTATGTCAATCAACTATTCTGTCTAATACACGGGGAAGATCGAGCCATTCGTGTAGATCACGACAAGCAGTATAAAGATCAGATACAAGGATTGAATTGTTGCGTTGGCGGAAGACGTGGCGGCGGCGACTACTCGCATTTGGGGGTTTGCCGAGAACACATCATGGTCACTTTCAGCACTTGCCCCGGCTTCCATCAAAACTTCATTGTTGATCCCTGTTGTCATCCCAGTGGGAGCACTGTCGATGTGGCTGTCCCCGTAGAAAGCAACAAAGTCTCCATCTGCAGCATCACAACTCTTGGACCACGTCACTACCGATGGATTATAGCATGCCTCGTCCAATGATCCGGGGCTGCCACAAAACATATCGGAAGCCATGACACGAGGATTGACGGTGGACCAACACAGATCGTAGTCAAAGGAACGGGCGTGTCGAAACATGCTGGACATGTTGATCAGGTCGGCCGTGAGCATCCAGTGACGGATGTCTTGCGAAAAGAGAAGAGCATCCTCAAACATGCTGTGCATAGTCGTCGCACTGCGGGGAGCCCACGAACCGATCGCGCCGTTGAAGGCAGAGGCACCCATAAACAGGCGGTCCAGTCTTTCCGCTTTTCCGACATTCCAGCTTTCAATGCCAGCGCCTGAGAGGAGCGGTGAGGTTGAGCTTGTTACTTTTATTGACTGCATTGCAAGGAAACGTACCTTGAAAGGAATGGGCTCCATAGAACATCATATTTAAGTCCACCACGTTCCTTGTATCGAGCCCACTGACATTTCCATTCCAACTTGTTGCACCCTTGAGCATGGCGCCTGTTATGGTCACGTTGGCGGTTTGGGTCCAGCCTCCGGCCACCATGTCCTGTTGGAATGACACAGCCCCGTTGAACATGGCATGAAAGGATCGAGCCGATGAAAAGTCCCACGACTCTAGATTCTGGTTGAATGCCCGGCACCCAGCAAACATGAAGCTAAAGTCAACGACTCGAGAGGTATCCCACGCCAAGATTTCAGGATTGTTGAAGGTGACCCTTCCTTCAAAGAGACGGCTGAAGTCTGTAACTTGGGAGGTATCCCACTGGCTCATCAAACCATAGGTAGCTTCAGCCCCGATTCGGTTGGAATGCCACAAGTCGACCGCATCCCTGATACCGTCATTGGTTAGTGGTGGCCCCTGAAGTCGTCGCTGGGGTCGTCGATCGGGAAATTGGGCCAATGACGACGTCATCTGCCGGAGACCTCCAGCCACAACGAAAAGGAATGGGAGGCTAAGCAGAATGGTCGCGGCGACCGACAACCGGTGCGTGTGGCTCTTGAAGCTGTAAAGAGCCGCTGGTCGCACTCCTCGGCGTAGAGCCATTCCAATCGATGCGTTCATGCTTGTGGTGAAACAAGTGTTTTCTGGTAGTAGTCGTTTCGTTGTGTCTCTCGTCGTAAGTTCTAGCTAGCTAGAAGCTCTGCACCGCATTGTTTGGATTCCATGAACACATTGACTGTTCTCGTGATTTGCTGTGAAGAAAGGAGAATTCAAAGTTTCGATACGAATATTGTACAGCATGACGATATTGTACTGCATGACCAATTTTGGTGACGCGAATGGCCTGTGCGGGTGGGAGGGAGAAAATTCAGGCTGCTGAAGGCATGAGCCCTCAACAAGTTTGTTTTTGATTGGCAGTGGCTAGGCAAGCCAGGCTAGCTGGCTCCGGCCGTAGACCTAAATATCCAGCCATCTGTTTCTCTTTTGGTAGTCTATCTCTATTAGGGTTAGGGGTAAAAACTGTGTCACAGAGGGACAAACACACAAAGGCACAATCACACAAACACACAAACACACAAACATACAAATAAAATTCACAAGGGCCCTACATCCGTTGAGGGCTATTGGCCTACACATGAGATCAAGCCATGGCATCGAGAGCTCAGTGTGGTCCCTGTCGCCTGTCGCCACTTTTGGCCAACTGCTGCGCCGCGAGATTTAGAAAGACCTTCCCACCGGTTGTCTGGTGGACGACGCAAGACAAAACGCCACAGTACCATGGTACCTCGTGCGAGGGACGAGAAAGTGTTGTTCGCGGACCATTTCATCGCTCGCACGATAGCTAAGACATGGAATGCAAAGACATGAATAGTTTGAATACGCTAAGTAGATTAGACCGATGTTAAGATAGAGACTGCTAGCTAGGTAGAGGAGTAAAAAAGGATGGAGCAAATAAGTCTCGTTGAAAGCACTCGTATGTGCTGTTTTGCGTTTGGTTCGCTTCCGCTCATTTCAAGAGTTCAAGACTCTTGAAGACGTTGTTCTGGGCTTCCTTCACTTTGAGTCGTCGTTCTTCATCCGACCATTTTTGTCGAACATTCTGCGGATACGGTTGCAAACAATCCCTCAAGCAGTGCGACACCTTTTCGTGTGCGTCCTTCGAGCTGATACGGTACCAGGAGGACGATCCCTCTTTCTGTTTGACAAAGCCTTGTCCCCCGGCATTCTGTATCGTCGCGACAATGGTATTGATGACGATGGACTTTGTGGTGCGTCTGATGGTTTCATACTGGGGTAGGTAGATGGCCACCAGGAGGCGGAATCGTCGGTTGGAGATGTGCTCCAGCCAGTTCTTGCCCCTGCCGCAGACCTGTAGAACACACAGCAAAGAGGAGCAAACGTTAGATCTGCGTTAGAGCTGCGGACAGGCAATCTAGCTTGGCTAGTGGCTCAACAGACTCACCACATCCCAGTTTCCCGGCACAAAGTCTTCGCCGAGGCACACCTCAGGATCGTTCTTCTCCGCTGCCAATATCTCCGATTCCATGCTGTCGCGGCGGAGCTTCTTGGCGCATTCTCGTCGTTCCTCGCCCCCCTCCTTCTTCTTTGCTGCCTTCTCGTCTTTCACGGCCTTCTTCTTGGCTACTTTGCCTTTGGTCTTGTCCTTCTGCTTGTCCTGCTTCATGGCTACCTTGTCCTCTTCTTCCCCCTTGGTCTTCTCAATCACCTTCGTGACAGTCTCCACGACCTTGGCTCCCATCGTTTCCGCTGTCAAGGGTTTGTCCGGGAATGGTTCCAAAAGGGGCATCTCTCCCTCGCCCACGCTCACGGTTCGCTTCTCCAACTTGGCGGGTGACACGGGCACGGGCGGTGGTGGAGGATTCTCCTTGTTTTGAGGATACAGATACTGCGGATGATGATGATAATACCACTGCTGACCCTGATGCTGCTGCATCACCACAGGGATCAGGATCTGAGGGTGGGCCAAGCTGAGTGGTTGCCCGGTGGAAGCCTTGTGGAAGTCTTGATGGTGGTGCGGGGCAACAAAGTAGCAAGGTCCATTGGAATGGTGGTGGTAGTGACTTGTGAACCAGTGCTGGCTGCCATTGACCCTCTGACTTTTCTTGGATCGTTGGCTGCCATGATTGTTGGATCGCTGGGGGCTACTGTCGAGGGAGATCCGTCGAGCTTTCCTGGCCGCACGGTAGTTTTCTACTTCCACAAAGCGCTTGCCATGGAAATCAATAGCCAGGCTGTCAACCTGATCTTCGTGTCCTTCAGGGAAGAGGGGATCCTCCATCGTGGTGCGCTCCTGTACCATAAAGGAGCTCGTATCCTTTGGGTGCGATTGAAGCTTGGATGTCAGGATGCTCAAACAAAGAATGAACTTGTCGTGCTTGTCTCTTCCCAATGAGAGAAATGAAGAGTGAACTTTTGCTGTCGTGCTTGTCTCTTCCCCAAGGAGAGAATGAAGAGTGAGCAAAAGCTGAGTGAGGCGAGGCAAAATCACCTTTTGCTTCAGTCGAGGGAGCTGCAAAATGCGATGTTAGCGGTGGGCTCGCCTTTCCTCTACTGTAGCAACCTGCTGGGGAGAAGAAATTGGAAACGACTAGACACTGCCGTACCGTACTGGTTATCACCGGTCGAGCCCTCGAGCCCTCGAGCCCAGACTTGTCTGCATGCTTGTGTGTGGCAATTGGCGCCGACTTGACTTGTCACTCACGCGATTACGTACGGTAGCGTACGTCTGGTAGCCGACCTGCAAGCGAAAAGCGAAAAAGAGGCCAATCGGTCCGAACATGGTTTCTCTTTTCGTGACTTCCTCTTACACGGTCTTCTATGTATTTCAAAACGCTTATTGTTAGACACGTAAAAACCAAAGCATTTTACTAGAAAACGAACCTGATTCTAAATACCATGTTTACTTCATGTTTATGAGACTTTGAAGAAGGACCAAAGCCAAAAGGTTGAAGTACACAAAACTATAGTCTCTAAAAACTCTTTGAGAAGCGCTTAAGGAACAGTGTCTTGGTTGAATCACTAAACAGAGGCATGTATAAGCCCTTCTTTCTCTCACTTTTATTCCATAGTTCAACAGCTGTTCAACGCAATGTTCCATGTTCTTTGAGATTGTGCCAGTAGAGCTGTCGGAAGCTTTCAGGCGATACGTGGATGGGAGGTGGCCATCCGGGCCCACCTGAAAAGGAGCCGGCAGGCTCCCTTGATTTTTCGAGGTCTTGCCAACAACTGTTGCGCCAATGCTGGGATCGCCGCTCTGATCATGAAGCTGATCCGGACCCATCAATTCAATTTTCCTCACGGTAGCTATAATGGTACTTCTGGCACCATCAAACCATCCCAGAACTGGCTACTCAGTAGTGCACATCCTGGCGTTGGGTGCACATTTCGAGGGGTTCTGGAGGCCATGTGGCTCGACTCAGTGTCAACGTCTCGTAAACGGGTTAAACGTTCCAGGCCAGGATTTGCCAGGTCCGGCTAGATGTTTTTGTTTCGTCCTTTCACCTTCCGAGTAGATTGAATTCATTTTCAAGTGGGATCCGGGCCCTTCACAGATGTCTCACCCAGCCACAGCATACTGGCCAACGGAATCCATGGCCTCTTTACACCTGCATACAAGCTCCCATCTTGACATCCTTGAACATGGACGCTGCCCAAAGCCCCCGCCAGTCAAGCCAGACACGAAAGTGAGTTACTTCCGGAACATTGAGGTTGGTGTCACATTGAAACCAGCAGATGGAGATTGGCACATATTTTCCCAGATATTTTCTTCGCCCGTGTCACATTTCCATAATCCCTTCCGGATAACTTCTACTGTAAAGCAGCAGTGTTGCATTCCCATGATCGCTACCGGAAAACTTTTGTAGGAGAGCACCAAGTCAGGACAATGTCCGTGCCCACAAGTCCTGACTTGGAGGCTGACGAAACACGCCCAGGACACCAAGTTCCAGACAGCATCCGATTCAAAAAGCTCCAAATCTTTTCTCTTTTCTAGGGGATGGTTCCTTTTCAACGTCCATGCCTGCATGCCCGGCTTGGTGATACCGAAGAGTCTCATATGTAACATAGCAAATGGACGAGGCCGCCACCTGTTTCTTAGACGGTCATGGATCTTCGAATACGTGCCTGCCTTGAACAACCTGCGTTTGAGCTTCTCACGTGCTAGTTGGATGATGTAGAATAGGCAGGCCCACCTGCCCTTTAGGCTAGATTAGGCAGGCCCAGTTGAGACTATGCAGGCCCACCTGCCCTCCGTCCAGGTTCAGTCTAGACCGGCCCACCTGGCCCTCGTCCAGCAGGGCGATGCGGCCACCTGGACCAAGCTCACGTCTTGGAAGTTGTCATTGGCAACTTTGGTTCCCAATAGCTGCATCCTCCAGCAGATTGGCTGTCTCAAGTAGGTACAGTACCTGTTGGATTCCTGTGTGTGATCATTGCTTAGCCTCGTTCCAAATTCGTGAGCGAAAGGTGATGATTGCTGTCTTTGCTGCCTTGGTCTTGCGTCAAGTCATAGTTGGCGTTTCCCTAGTTCTTGCTCGCTTTGGTTACATGTGTTGTGGGGGGTTCATCCAGAGAAAGCGCATGTTTGTAGGAGTCCTCTTGCAAGATTCCGTCGGGCCATTTCTTCGGTCAACGTCGGGCCATTCCTTCAGTCAAACCAAGTGACGCTTTGCGATTCCGATGAAGGAAAGATGACTCATCCGTATTCTCTGGTGGGTTTTGCTTTCACCGCCACACAACTGGTTCCCCCATCCACTCCAACCATTTATTTCTTTTACTTGACATGCTCTTGGACCACTTTTAAGAGCTGATCAATTTGGGGACGTGGAATCCCCCCTTCGAGCAACAATTGCGTGAGCAACCCCACGCCCGGGACGAGAAAGGATTCCAAAGTCCCGTGCAATACGCCCAGATCGTCCAAGACGGCTCGATTTTGATCGGTCCATTCTTGGCAAAAGTCGTGCACCAACAATGGCTTGGGTGGTGGTGTGCCATCTTGTGGTGGTGTGTCAGGGGCGTCGTCACTATCATCGTCCTCAAAGACGATATCCGTTCGCAAGACATGCTTGGTTCCCCATTGAAGCGGTGCTCCGGCATGATACAAGTCATGCTCAAACAAGACGAGTCGTCCCGTTTGAGGAGTAATGACATGTTGTCCGTCATTCGAGTGGTCTTCCTCCTCGGAACTACTACTAGCCGTTGTGTGCTGGTTGTTAAAATTGGAAATGTGGGCATTCAAAAAGCGTGTTTCGCCTCCTTCGAAATCCACTCCACCGCCGTCGTTCAAATACAGCAAGACGGTAATGCGGGAAACGAATGATGTTCCGACACGAGTGGTGGCATCAAAATGGGGTTCGAATCGATCTTGATCTTGGGCATCGTACTGCAGTACGCGCAATCGAGGATTCAATCCACGCGGAGGACCAAATTTATTACAATGACGCAAGAGTGTCGACTTCAGCAGTAATTTCGTGTCGACCATGCGCTTCCAAAGTCGGTCCACCATTTTGTGATTTTCAAACACGGCCAATTTGTGTGGATTGGGATGCTGGAGTGGAACTTTATAGAGTGTCCCGTCGGGTGCCGTATGAGAGGCTTCGGTAATGTACTGAAATCCACGAGCGTCCGTTTGTGCCAACTCCAAAATATCCCGACACTCCGCAGCGGAAACGAAATGGTCCACCACCACGGCCACGGCATTATTTGCAGATTGACCGTAACGAGCGCAGCGGGGAGGCAAGGGAATAGGTTGGATGGAAACAAGAAGAGGATTGTTCTTCGAGTGACAGTCAATGTCGTCGCCTGAGGCAGGATCTTCTTCTTCGTCCATGACGAGAATAGAAGTCAACGGTGGAGAACAGGAATCATTTGTTGTCACACCATCGGCGGATGGATCGATGGCAAGACCCAACATTTCCAACAGGGCATCGTTCGTGTCCACAGATGCATCATCCTCTGGGTAAGCCTTGGCCGCCGGCTGTGGGACTGCTGCTACTTGAGCCATGGACACCAACAACTACAACGACAAAGAAAACTTCTTGGTCTTCAGTCCGTTCTCTTGGTTGAGTGAAAGTATAGTTGTGAAAGAAGGTCGTTACAGCGGACTATGCCGTTGTGTCTGTGGTCTGTGGGAAGGGTTGTGAGAAAAATGAGAAATGGGTGGCTCGAGAAATTGAGAAAACCCAATCAATTGTTGAAAAGGTGGGAACTTGAACACACAATTTCTCTAATTTAATCAGTATCTTTCCAGCTCTACTGTCTAGTAGACTGGCTATTCGTTTCGTTTTCTCTTTCTCTCTCGTTCAGATTTTGAGCTCTCAGACTGAGCTCCGATATGCATACATATACCAGGATCTTTCGATCCTCTGCTTCTCGCAGTTTCATCTTTTGATCCTCTGCTTCTCGCAGTTTCATCTGCAGATAGATCTCGTCGATCTATCTTCCTGAAGTGCATGGTTGGCCCTGAAGGGGCTTTCCCACTTTACTAAACCTGTGGACCTTCATCTGTCCATTCATTTGCTCCGTTTCCATCACTCCTTGCTTCCTTCTCCTCAACCTAAATTCCTGACCATTGTAGTTGCATCACATAGACGACCGTCGTCCTATTTCTATACATCTGGCTATCCGATGATGATCGGATAACCATCTGAGTTTGAGTCACACATCTCCAATCACGAACCGTGACTGTGGATCCCGAGTCGTCTGTCCATCATACGAAAATATCTTTCTAACAGAAAACCCTCCTGTCAAAGAACATAGAGCTAGGGTTACAAGAACAGGGTAAACGGGTAGTTGCGGTAAATAAAGGGTTAACGCACACTTTACTTTGCGTATTTGTATCAAACATTATTTTACCACATCTATCTGAAATCCAGAGTTGCCTTCCCAATGCCAATCCATTCATAGCGCGCCTCTCGGATACCGTAGGGTATCGCTCTGAGTTCTTGGCATCCAACCAAGACGACCATGGCGTCTCTTCTCTATCTACCGGTACCGGTACAGTACCAGGTAGCTTGGGTTTCAACTTGTTGGATCCATTGCTTGTGTTGAGTCTCAACAAAAAGTCACCCGATAAAGCACAGCCCCATTTTTGAGTCGCGCAGATGCATGCATGCATGGTGTCCAGTGAAGTCCAAGTCGTCGAGTTTTTTTTAAAAGTGTGGGCACTGGCAATCGAAGCCAATCTACCATCTACCAGGCTCAAGTGCCATGGGAGCTTCAAGGGGAGATCAAGGCAAGCTCATAATATCTGACACCTACTGCACTTCCGCCGGCCACCAAAGCTACTCTTCTTCGCACGAAATCCGACGACTGACTCAATAGGAAGGATTCCACCACCGACTCGACTCTGTCAACAACAATACCGGCCTCATCCGTGCGGTAGGACTCCAACAACAATGCGCGCATTGATTTTAAAAGGACTTTGCACCGTTCACGAAGCACATCTTTGACTGACTCTGTCGACGACGTGTGGAATCTCAAGAGGACAACAGCGATTTGAGAACACAATCACAACCAGGCATCAGCACGACTCGCCGGCACAAGCGCGCCCACAACCACCTTTGGTCGCTGTCCTCAACCCGAAGCAGCACAACCGCGTCACAAATGAGACGGAGCCCAGTAGCCACGCCAGTGTTGTCCGACAAGGTGTAGAGAGTGGTTGGCATACTAAGTGTCGTCGTGTTTGCCCGCTTGTAGGGAATGTTGTGCCAAGATGGCGGCACGATATATAGTGGAATAAATAGCCAAGCTGTGCACCGGTAAAAATCATATCTATACCGGTGCGTTGGTCACTGCTTGAACACATGAACACCAATAAAATCCCATTTTATCCAACCTTGTCAACACCGGAGGCAAGTTAGTTAACCAACTACATAATGTACTGTTGGGGGCCCGCAACGATTCGATTCGAATCGATTCTGTCCAGCCAGTGCCTCCACGGTAGTGTTCCCCTTGAACGCCTTCACCCGAAGCAACAGATCTGATCCGCCGCAACTTACTTCATCATCTTGATAGGGGTGCCATGGGGTACCGTGGGGTACCCTACGGTATCGGTACCGGTACCAGGTAGTACCACCGGTAGCATAACACGCATACATGGTACCATGGCCGAAAGGCGAGTGGAACCGTGACTGGAAAAAGATACCAGTACCGGTGGAACGTTAGCTGACATGACCGGAGCACAGGAGGATGAATGAATTAGAAGTGGGTGACTCGTCACTCAGAGATTGACTGGCAAGACATTGGAGAAAAACCCCTAACACAAATACTTTATCCAGTGGCAGAAAGCGCTTTGAAGTTGCCTCTGAGTTTTACTTGCTGTTTTTTGCTTAATTTAAAAAAAAATAGACAACGCTTGAAGAATTAGATACAACTGCCTTGCTGTTTTACGTAGATGGTACAGTATTGGTGGTTGGTGGTTGATTTATTAGCCATCTTCTTCAGCTCAATCTACTGAATTGGAAGGAATTAACCAAAGGACCACGTTGACCCAGGGAACGCAGAACTTTCGGTGAATCAGAGGGCTGTCTATCGTCTATCAGGACCCGATTTCACTTTCCTCCCCAACCAAGCGGGATCTTCCGACTACACCATGGGTACTGCGGCTTCTTCAATTGGAACATAGAGTGGTGGGCCTACAGTGGAGCGACGAGCTAGCTAGCTGGCTGGCTCCTGCTGGCTGCTGTGGAGCTCCAGCGCTCCATCAAGTGCCCAGATCGATCACCTCATCACCTCACCTCTTCGAAGTCCGAACAAGTACATGTACTAGTACTGGACGCTGGACGCTACTGAACAGACAACCAATAGCCAATAGCGCTGGCTCCTGTACAACATATTATTGGAATGTTTTGGATGCTTTGCTGTTTTGGTGCTTCGTCACTGGTGGTCTATTTCTTTCCAAGGATTTAACGTAATGATCACATAGAAACGGGAGAACACAGAATTTACTATGAAAGTGTAGTAGTGTTGCGTGTCGGTGGGCCATTACCGGTACCGCTAGAGGCTAAAGACTCACATCACTACCTCATATTTAAGATAGGTGGTTTTTGATATCCAATGCTCAGATTTACTGAAATGATAAGATAACCTAGCTAGACTAGTTGGCTACTATCTGATTTCCCAAACAAGAAAGATAAGCTAGGAGTACCAACGTCTCAAATCCTAAGCTAATACTACAACTCTGTGGAGAGTGAGGGCAGCCAGCACCCCTATCTCCCACATCACCATTTTACATCTCAGTCCTCTTCCATATCCCCATCTTGGGGTGCCTCCACAACCACAACATCTTTGGTTTCATTGATTTTGGCTTTTCACGTTTACCTTCTTGGGCTTTGGTAGTGGCTCATCATTTTTGAGAGCATGGTTAGAAGTGCCAGTAGGGTAAGTGACAATAGCTGCTACTGGCTATGAGATATGAGAGAAAATGAGTTGGGTAGGGTATGTGTCAATAGCTGCTACTGGCTATAAGATATGAGAGAAAATGAGTTGGGCTGCTTTTCGGATACTGAGTCGAGTCCGGTCAGTCAGTGTGGCTGTTGATGAATCCTTCTAAAAAGTAAAGGACTTCTTATAGATGAGGCAGGAGTATACTATGCATCTGGGATCCACGTGGCTGTCTCGGCGAACGGAATCTTGCCAATGTGGGCTAATGCTTCATCAGCTCTTCTTGCTTCTTGCACCTTTTACATCCTGGCATATATATGGATTGGAACTTCTACGAGTAAGGAAAGAGCAAGGTGCCATTGTCGCTGGAGTACTAGTAAGCAGATAGCAAGTGACAGTCAATTGCTGGCTCGATCAGTCGGTCTCCAAAGCACTTGCATGGTTTGTGCGACAAGCTCCAGTTCAGCAAATCAAGCTCAAAAGTGAGTGACAAAGCTTTGGTTCGAGCAGGAGTCGACGATAGACGAAAATCTTCGATTGCAACCCCACCGAGAGACCAAAGAAAGATAGATCGAGACCAACTTGCCAGCCTAGATAGATAGAACGATAGATAGAACGAAAGATAGATAGAAGACCGTTGCTTCAACGTTTACCACCACCATGAGCGACGATTCCGAAAACCCCAACAGCACTACGAGTAGCGGCGGCAAGGACAACGACGGAGAGGACTTGGCCAGCTCGTACGCCTCTCTGTTTGCCGACTCCCGTCCAAACCATGGCAGCAACATCAACAATCACAACAATCGTTCCCAGCAATTGGCCGGCATGTTTCAACAGAGCTTTGCTGCTCGCAATAGTACCAACAACAAGAGCATCAATCATATTTCCTCGTCCAACTTGGACTTGCGAGAGGACGAGTGGTCCGAACGGAGTTCCTTTGCCGACGAATCGCAGCGCTTCCACGACAGCAATTTGGAGGAGTTGGCCGCCAAGGCATTGGCCAAACGCCAGGCTGAAGAAAGCAAGAAGGCCAAGAAAAAGTTCAAGACGTTTGCCTCTCAAGTCATGCAAGTCATGCGAGTCGCCAAGTTCCAAGCCAATACGTATGATAACACTCCCAAACAGGAGGAAGAACAACACGAGAATGTCGACAAGGACGACGAGAACAGTGAAAAGAGCGAGCTCGGGACGACTGATAATGTCGAGACCCGATACACGGGTCCGGAAGCGGAAGAGGAAGACGAAATTGACCTGACTGCGGCGGTGGTAGTGCCAGAAGAAGGAGAAGACACGGCCGAGAATAGGAAGACAACGATGACAAAGTCCTATTCCAAGAACCTCCTGAACCTCCAGCGCGAAAGCAAGCTGACCCTCGAGGAACTAGAAGCAGAACTCGAAAACAATAGTGAAGGGTACAGTGTGTCCACTATCGACAGTGCCGAACAAGAAGCCCGAGACAGGGAAAACAAGCTCTGGATTGGAATCATGTGGGGCATCATTCTCAGTAAATCCGCCGAATTCATTGCCTCTTACATTGTTGGTGGAATCTTGAAAATCTTCAAATGGATTCGACGGTGCTGTGGCGACAGTGGCCCGGAAGACGATGCCATTGGAGTGGTCGGCGACGGTGTAGGTGATGCCATTGACGATGTCAATTTGATAACGCAGGGCACTGGAGGAGGAGGATTCATTCCTCCACCACCCGGCGGCCAAGCCATGACGGGACAAATGGCCACTCAGGCGGCGTCCAATGCCGCCAGTGGAGTCAGCTGTACGTGCTCTGATTCTTGTGTTTTGATTGATCGTTTTGGATGCGTTTTAACACTTCCGCTGTCGCGACGTCGCTCACCTTCTCTTTCGTTTCCATTCTCGCTTCTCCTGATTCGCCGTTTGCTTTCTTCGACGAAACGAACACGATGATCTCCTCGTTGACCATTTTGACGCTTCCTTCACAACGCAATGATCTCTTTGTGCGTGCCACAGCTGGAGCAACTGCCGTGGCACCTCCACCCCCAACAGGCGGAGGACTGGTCAATACGGTTGCCAATGCCATATCCCAAGCAGGAGTTGCCGCACAAGCAGGAGCCGTTGTGGGAGTAGCAGCGGTGGCTGCGGCAGGACTTTCTACCGGCATTGCGAGTACTCGATCGGCCGCTCCCCCAATGGAACCCGTCGGCAATTACACCCAAATGTGGATACCGCCACAATGCCCCACACCGTCGGAACCCAAAGAAGGCTATGTCGAACTCAATCTACAAGGATTGCCCGATGGAGCCATTGACGACTACAAGGAAGAAATGGAAGACATGTTCCGAGATGTATACAACAACATTACTGGCATGTGTTTGGACCCCTACAACCGAGTCTTACATAATGCAACGCTCAACAGCTACGAAATCATAGAGGAAGGTCAAGGGGATGAACCTTCTGTGATGGGAACCTACTGGCTGGCCACGGTCAATTGTAGTTCCTGCCCTGGTGAGTGGATTGATGCTTCGATTTTGGTTTGCTGTTGTATCTGTGGATTATGTATTGGCTCACCTGCTGTCGTCTGGACATAGACTACGAACCTCTATTCCAAGCAAACACAAGCCCAGGATCAGAGGATGACACTAGAATCAAGGACATCGAGGAAGAGCTCAACATGACAGTGGGTCTAGCAGGCAACCAAACACCTGCAAACACTACAACAGCTCTTGCATCCAACCGGAAACGCCGATTCCTTCAAGAATCACCTGCACTAGCTGAGTTTCTGCCTGTGTTTGCCACAACATTTGAGTTTATCTTTCGGAGATTCCTGATACAAGAGGGAGTCATACAGGAATCAGAACCGGATAACTCAACCACAAAGGGCTCAACCATGAAGGTTGTGTTGGTCACTAGCAGAGCATCTCCCTCCCTTCAGAATGAACTGAATGGAACAGAACCTGAAATTGTGGCAACTTTTGGTGAAACTGATTTGGAAGAGTATATTGAGTTTGTCGAAGCCAAGAATGGAACTGTTCGAAATCCATTCATCCAGGCAGAACTGGCAGATCTTTCCAACTGTTTTGAGAGTAACAATGCATTGTCTGGTGCAGAAGCAGAGTCTTGCGAGCGACTTCAATCACTTGTGAATGATGAGAGCAATGAGATTGATAGTCAAATGATTCTAGAATGTGCTGCAGATCCCTCCGCTCCTCACTGCCAAGAAATCCTCGACACAGCCTTGGAAGTGTTGGCGAGCGAGACTGCTATCAGTTTGTTGGTATCTTCAGAAGACCAAGCCTCCAATGAGGATAATGGGGACAGCACGGAAGACAGTAGGCAAGAAACAAATGGACAGTCTACCCCAGCATCATTTGGGTATCAAGAAGTATCCTTGCCAGTGGCTAGCCCAATGTCAGGCTCCCTAGGGGCGCCAACCATTCTTGACATGCCAGGTGACACATCAGTTCTTCAGGACGAATTCCAAGGTGATGCACTACTGGCCATGCCAAGTGAAGTTTCAGGCCTGGTATCTACACCAAGCGCAACTGCAACGGAAACATCAGAGGGAACACCTTCGAATTCGGCACCTACACAGTTGGCCAACCCTATGGGTCCATCATCAGTGACCACTGCGCAAGCAGCAAGTGATAGTGGGCAGAGTCCTACTGGTGCCTCCCCTCAACCTGAAGCCACAGCAACTGCTCCAAGTACCACTGTTAGTGAGCAACAACCAAACAGTGGTTCTACTCTATCGGAAAATGAGCCGGGCACAGTTGCGTCAGGGCCATCATCTCCAGAATCTTCCAATATGCTTGGTGGAAGCCCTGTGGCTCAACCTGACAATGCAGCTCCATCTAACAATGCACTGAATGGTGGCATGTCATCATCCAGTGGAGGGGGAAATGACATGCCTGCCAACCCAGACTCAAACACTGAGACTGAAGCAGTCCCAGGATTTGCACCCCAAAGCTCCGCAGGAAATATGCCAGTTACGACACCGAATGGAGCACCTGCTGCTGGATCTGCCCTTTCTCCAACCAACCAAGGCGAAGTAGGTAATATGAACAGTGTTGCTCCTGCAATGCTACCTGGATTGCCTCCTGCTGGTACAATGGCAAGCAGTTCCACAGCACCCGATGCAGCTGCTGCATCTGCATCACCAAATGTTGTAGCATTCAGTGGCGCTCCAGTAGTGCCAGCTTCAAGCCCCCCTGGTGGAGCAACACCAGCTGTAGCAGGAGCACCCAGTTCTGGGGCAGTTGTGTCAACCGAATCTCCAGTGGTGGCATCACCAGTTACAGGACCCAGCAGCAGCGGTGCTACACCGAATGATATACCTTCACCCACTTTGGTAGATAGCTCACCGGATGGTTCTGTTCTGACTACTGTTGCCACAAATCAGCCAGACAATTCGGGATCACCTCAGGCAAACACGGGCGCTACTCCTGAACAAACTCCAGAACCAACATTTCAACCAACCTTTCAGCCAACCTTTCAGCCAACTCCTGAACCTACCACAGAACAAACCTTGGAGCAAACAGACGAAAACACAGCTGTACCTATTGTGGCAACCTCTGAACCTACTCCTGAGCCGACATCTGGACCCACAATTGACCCATCTATTGAGCAAACGCTTGAAAACACAGCTCAGCAAGTTGTGCCCACCTCTAAGCCATCATTGGAAACAACTCTTGGCAGCACTTCTTCCCTTAGTGAGCCAACCATTTCCCCAACCTTGGTGACTTGTGATTTCTTCACTGTAGAGACAATGTGCAATGTCACTTTTAGCAGTGAAACAGCAAGTGTATCAGATTTCGAGCTAGAAGATACATTCAATGCTTGTAAGTTTTGGTATCTTTCATGTTCTCTCTGTTTCTTTGTTTCTTTGTTCCGACTCTAAAAGCTTGTGTCTTGATAGCCTATGCTGCCCTGCAAAAGGCAGGGTGCTCACCAGCTATTGTCGATGTAGTTTTACAGCGGAGGATTGGAAGACGATACCTACAAGCCAGCACGGAATCGAGACGGCGCCTGCAGTCAGAAATCGCGGTAGAATTTTTAATCATGACAAACCAAACAACCATGAATTTCTTCCTTGAGAATGATGCCGAAATCACACAATTCGTGGATCAATTTACTTCTGCACTATCCAGTGCTGGCATCACCGATACTACGGCAACATCCATCAGGATGGTACAATCAACCACAAGTCCTACCACCAATGTTCCAACTGTGACACCTGGGAGCCCTTCTTTTACTCCCACAACTGGAAGTCCCACTGTGACTCCTGGAAACCCCTCACTTGCTCCAACAACTGGGAACCCCACGGTGACTCCTGGCAGTCCTTCTCTAAGTCCCACTACAACCACACCCACTGTCACGCCTGGATTTCCTTCTCGGATGCCAGCAACTGGTACTCCCACAGTGACACCAGGGTCGCCCAGTGTGGGCCCCACAACTATCCCCCCTACTGTAACCCCTGGAAGCCCCTCATTACTACCTACAACCACAATTCCAACCGTTACCCCCGGATCTCCAAGCGGTAGTCCCAGCACCGGAATCCCTAGTGTGACCCCAGGTTCGCCTAGTGTACTTCCCACCACAGGCCCCCAACTGTGACTCCTGGAAGTCCTCAGCAAATCCAACAGTATTGCCTGGAAGTCCCTCTACTACCCCAACCACTGCAACACCCACGGTTACTCCTGGAACCCCACGATTGCCCCAACTGTACCCCCCAAACTGGAAATCCCACTGTGACTCCTGGAAACCCCTCACTTAGTCCGACTACCGGAATCCCAACCGGTACTCCTGGGAGTCCTTCTATAAGTCCCACTACAACACACCCTACTGTCACCCTGGATTTCCTCTCTGATGCCAGCAACAGGATATCCCACAGTGACACCAGGGTCGCCCAGTGTGGGCCCTACAACTATCCCCCCCACTGTAACCCCTGGAAGCCCCTCATTACTACCTACAACCACAATTCCAACCGTTACCCCCGGATCTCCAAGCGGTAGTCCCAGCACCGGAATCCCTAGTGTGACCCCAGGTTCGCCTAGTGTACTTCCCACCACGGCCCCCAACTGTGACTCCTGGAAGTCCTTCAGCAATCCAACAGTATTGCCTGGAAGTCCCTCTACCACTCCAACCACTGCAACACCCACGGTTACTCCTGGGAACCCCACGATTGCCCCAACTGTACCCCCCACAACTGGAAATCCCACTGTGACTCCTGGAAGCCCCTCACTTAGTCCGACTACGGAATCCCAACCGGTACTCCGGGAGTCCTTCTCTAAGTCCCACTACGAGCACACCTACTGTCACACCTGGATTTCCCTCTCTGGCGCCAACAACTGGTTATCCCACAGTGACACCAGGGTCGCCCAGTGTGGGCCCCACAACTATCCCCCCCACTGTAACCCCTGGAAGCCCCTCATTACTACCTACAACCACAATTCCAACCGTTACCCCCGGATCTCCAAGCGGTAGTCCCAGCACCGGAATCCCTAGTGTGACCCCAGGTTCGCCTAGTGTACTTCCCACCACGGGGTTCCCAACTGTGACTCCTGGAAGTCCTTCAGCAAATCCAACGGTATTGCCTGGAAGTCCCTCTACCACTCCAACCACTGCAACACCCACGGTTACTCCTGGAACCCCACGATTGCCCCAACTGTACCCCCCACAACTGGAAATCCCACTGTGACTCCTGGAAGCCCCTCACTTAGTCCGACTACGGGAATCCCAACCGGTACTCCGGGGAGTCCTTCTCTAAGTCCCACTACGAGCACACCTACTGTCACACCTGGATTTCCCTCTCTGGCGCCAACAACTGGTTATCCCACAGTGACACCAGGGTCGCCCAGTGTGGGCCCCACAACTATCCCCCCCACTGTAACCCCTGGAAGCCCCTCATTACTACCTACAACCACAATTCCAACCGTTACCCCCGGATCTCCAAGCGGTAGTCCCAGCACCGGAATCCCTAGTGTGACCCCAGGTTCGCCTAGTGTACTTCCCACCACGGGGTTCCCAACTGTGACTCCTGGAAGTCCTTCAGCAAATCCAACGGTATTGCCTGGAAGTCCCTCTACCACTCCAACCACTGCAACACCCACGGTTACTCCTGGGAACCCCACGATTGCCCCAACTGTACCCCCCACAACTGGAAATCCCACTGTGACTCCTGGAAGCCCCTCACTTAGTCCGACTACGGGAATCCCAACCGGTACTCCGGGGAGTCCTTCTCTAAGTCCACTACGAGCACACCTACTGTCACACCTGGATTTCCCTCTCTGGCGCCAACAACTGGTTATCCCACAGTGACACCAGGGTCGCCCAGTGTGGGCCCCACAACTATCCCCCCCACTGTAACCCCTGGAAGCCCTCATTACTACACAACCACAATTCCAACCGTTACCCCGGATCTCCAAGCGGTAGTCCCAGCACCGGAATCCCTAGTTTGACCCCAGGTTCGCCTAGTGTACTTCCCACCACGGGGTTCCCAACTGTGACTCCTGGAAGTCCTTCAGCAAATCCAACGGTATTGCCTGGAAGTCCCTCTACCACCCCAACCACTGCAACACCCACGGTTACTCCTGGAACCCCACAATTGCCCCAACTGTACCCCCCACAACTGGAACCCACTGTACTCCTGGAAGCCCCTCACTTAGTCCGACTACAGGAATCCCAACCGGTACTCCGGGGAGTCCTTCTCTAAGTCACACACTACGAGCACACCTACTGTCACACCTGGATTTCCCTCTCTGGCGCCAACAACTGGTTATCCCACAGTGACACCAGGGTCGCCCAGTGTGGGCCCCACAACTATCCCCCCCACTGTAACCTCTGGAAGCCCCTCATTACTACCTACAACCACAATTCCAACCGTTACCCCCGGATCTCCAAGCGGTAGTCCCAGCACCGGAATCCCTAGTGTGACCCCAGGTTCGCCTAGTGTACATCCCACCACGGGGTTCCCAACGGTGACTCCTGAAGTCCTTCAGCAAATCCAACGGTATTGCCTGGAAGTCCCTCTACCACTCCAACCACTGCAACACCCACGGTTACTCCTGGGAACCCCACAATTGCCCCAACTGCCCCCCCCATATCAGGAATTCCAACTGTGACTCCTGGAAGCCCCTCACTTAGTCCGACTACGGGAATCCCAACAGGTACTCCTGGATCGCCCAGTGTGAGTCCTACAACTGCAATCCCTACAGTGTCACTTGGAAGTCCCTCGCTGGAACCTACTACTGAGAATCCAACTGTATCACCTGGAAGTCCCTCTACGACCCCAACTAGTGCGACACCGAGTGTCACTCCTGGGAATCCTACTTTCGCCCCAACAACTGGAATCCCCACTGTGACTCCTGGAAATCCATCCTCTTCTCCGACTGGAAGGACTTCCACTGTGACTCCAGGTTCACCCAGTGCCGTTCCCACTTCAGAAGCCCCTACTGTGTTGTCTGGAAGCCCCTCCTTGGCAGCAACAACTGGAATTCCAACGGTGACACCAGGATCACCCAGTGTTAGTCCCACAAGAACTATCCCTCCCACTGTAACCCCTGGAAGCCCATCTGTGGCTCCCACAAGTACAATTCCAACCGTCACCCCAGGAAGCCCCACTACGGTGCCAGCAGCTGCCCCCAGTGTTAGTCCAGGGAGCCCTTCTATGAGTCCCACCAAGACACCCACTGTAGGCCCTACAAAGGTCCCAACAATTACACCAACAAAGGTACCATCACCTATACCAACAGTGTCACCAGGCAATCCCACCATGGCCCCAACTGAAGCACCCACAAAGGCTCCAACAACCACACCATCCAAAACACCTACAGGATCACCAATTGCAGCTCCTACTATAGGACCAACAAAAGCACCAGCAAGCACCACGACGCTGATCCCAACAGTTTCTCCAGGCAGCCCCACAACGGCACCAACGAAGGCACCAACAGTTGTTCCGGGCAACCCAACCAAGGCACCCACAATGGTGCCAACCAAGCTACCAACCAGATCACCCGTGCCAATTCCCACAGTTACTCCAGGCAGCCCTACCAAAGGACCTACTCAAGTACCAACAATTACACCTGCAAATTCACCAACAAAGGCACAAGCAGCAATTCCAACAATTTCCCCAGGCAATCCTACCAAGCCACCCACCCAAGCACCAACTAAGTCACCGACAACAATATCAGTTCCGGTTCCAACAGTTACCCCAGGCAGCCCCACCAAAGCACCAACAAAGGCACCATCAGCAATCCCAACAGTTTCTCCAGGCAGCCCCACCAAAGCACCAACAAATTGGCACAGTGAATCTACGCCAACAGTTTCTCCAGGGAACTACCAAGACACCCACCCAAGCACCAACTAAGTCACCAACAACAGCACCAGTGCCAGTTCCGACAGTTGCTCCAGGCAGCCCCACCAGTGCACCGACAAAGGCACCGCATCAACGCCAGTTTCTCCAGGGATCCTACCAAGGCACCCCCAAGCACAACTAAGTCACCAACAACAGCACCAGTGCCGGTTCCGACAGTTACTCCAGGCAGCCCCACCAAAGCACCAACAAAGGCACCAGCATCAACGCCAACAGTTTCTCCAGGGAATCCTACCAAGACACCCACCCAAGCACCAACTAAGTCACCAACAACAGCACCAGTGCCGGTTCCGACAGTTACTCCAGGCAGCCCCACCAAGCACCAACAAAGGCACCAGCATCAACGCCAACAGTTTCTCCAGGGAATCCTACCAAGACACCCACCCAAGCACCAACTAAGTCACCAACAACAGCACCAGTGCCGGTTCCGACAGATACTCCAGGCAGCCCCACCAAAGCACCGACAAAGACACCAGCATCAACGCCAACAGTTTCTCCAGGGAATCCTACCAAGGCACCCACCCAAGCACCAACTAAGTCACCAACAACAGCACCAGTGCCGGTTCCGACAGTTACTCCAGGCAGCCCCACCAAGCACCAACAAGGCACCAGCATCAACGCCAACGTTTCTCCAGGAATCCTACAAGACCCACCAAGCACCAACTAAGTCACAACAACAGCACAGTGCCAGTCCAACAGTTTCTCAGGCAGCCCACCAAAGCACCGACAAAGACACCAGCAGCAATCCCAACAGTGTCTCCAGGCAATCCTACCAAGACACCCACCCAAGCACCAACGAAATCCCAACAACAGCACCAGTCCAGTCCCAACAGTTACTCCAGGCAGCCCTGCTAAGTCTCCAACAAAAATACCAACAACAGTGCCAACCCCGGTTCCTACGGTATCTCCCACCTCAATCCCAGTGGCAACTCTTGCTGACCTCAGGAATGCAATTCTTTATGGTCCCTACACAGACGGAGACTCTCCCTATGGTGCCATTGAGACGTGGGATGTTTCACTGTACGCAACCCCTCTGCAGTACTGCTCCGTTAGTTTCTTGAAAATGCTCTCAGTTTCCTCAATGTATTCGTCTTTGTTCTCTTTTCAAACTCAAAAGTGTCACCGATTTCTACCAGTAAGTGGCGCAGCTGGTTCTGTGCTATATCTGGGAGATGCAGAATGCCATTGCTAACTTTCAGAGTTGAAACCTCTTTTTCGCACTACAGGCTTGCACAGTCAAGGACAACATTCAACTATGACATCTCCAATTGGGACACCTCAAGCGTGGGTAACTTGTCTTGGATTAATGTACTTGATTGGTAATCCATTGCTGCTTGCTCACATTTAGCTATCTTGCTCCATATAATTAGGTCACAAGAATGGACAACATGTAAGCCGGATGAATGGATGGTCTCTTATGAAACACGAATGGGCTTGGGTTGGCCAACAAATCTGCTCCTTTTGTCTTCATAGGTTTTATGGAGCCACAACATTCAATGTCAACCTGAACAGCTGGGATACCTCCAAGGTGAGTGGGATCTGTTGAGCATTGCATGCAGCCATTGGCTGTTAACACTAAGATGTGGTTGTCTCTGTCCCATTCTTCTAGGTCACAAGCATGAATCAAGCGTGAGTTTCACCCAAAAGGTTTTCACTTCAGCAACAGTAACCTCTGAAGCTCACTCATGCTTACTTGCTTGCATTGATAGCTTTTATGGAGCCTCAAAGTTTGATGGAGACCTCACAGGATGGGACACTAGCAAGGTAGTGGACATGTACCGTAAGTTTGGAGGTGGCAGGATGATTCCATCTTTTGTGATTCTGCTCGTCACTCATGTTGGAACCCCATTTTTCCTATCATCTTTTGGCCTTGAAGGAATGTACGTTCTTTTTCTTGTTCGGTTTGAGAGACTCGCGCTGTAGCGGCAAGGGGCTCACATACATGCATTATTGTTTCTACAGGTTTTACAATATTAGAGTATTCACAGGAACTGGTTTGGCAAACTGGAATGTTGGCCTTGTCACCAATTTCAACTATGCCTTCTACTACAACACAGCCATGAACGCCAACCTAGCGAGCTGGGATGTCTCAAGTGTTCAAGATTTTTCAGCCATGGTAAGATCTTAGCACAGAATACAATTATTTCTCGAAAAGCAATCTGTACCTTGTTATACAATACCTTACCAAAAACATTTTGGATTCCCTCCATACAGTTCTACCTTTCTGGATATAATCAGGTAAGGCGGTACCCTTGGCCTGCATTGCTTCCTTTGCGGCTGGCTGGATCTTTGTATTGAACTTGACCTCACATTCTTCACTATGGATTGCCCACCTCAGCCTGTGTCCACCTGGAATGTTGGCAATGGACTGAACATGGTGCACATGTAAGTATATTGCTAGAGGACCCAGTGACGTAGCATGTCTTGTGCTCCGTTATTGCTTGCCTCTTTCTTGTGTACCAGGAAGGATTCTGAGTCATTTCTTTTCCTATCAACCGTAGGTTCCGCCAGAGTAGTTTCAACCAGGTTGTTTCAGCGTGGTCTATTTCAAAGGTGACAAACATGAAGTATGTAGATGGCTTTGATGTTGCTCATGCTTGTTGTTGAAGTGATACTTCTGACACGGTCATGTTGTTGTGTTGCAGCTACATGTTCTACTACACCACCCCCTTCAATCAAGATTTGTGTGATTGGGGTAACATCATTGGAAGTGCAGCAGTAACTGGCATGTTCACAGCAACTAGTTGCCTGTATAAAACAAATCCAGCCTGACTGCTTCTCCAAAGGGTCCCTTCTGCTACTTCTGCCCTGCTCCTCCCACCACTCCCCCCACCCAGAACCCAACAACCAGTCCCTCTGAAGTACCAACCCCGGTTCCTACGGTATCTCCCACCTCAATCCCAGTGGCAACTCTTGCTGACCTCAGGAATGCAATTCTTTATGGTCCCTACACAGACGGAGACTCCCCCTATGGTGCCATTGAGACGTGGGATGTTTCACTGTACGCAACCCCTCTGCAGTACTGCTCCGTTAGTTTCTTGAAAATGCTCTCAGTTTCCTCAATATATTTCGTCTTTGTTCTCTTTTCAAACTCAAAAAGTGTCACGGATTTCTACCAGTAAGTGGCGCAGCTGATTCCGTGTTATCTGCCAGGGAGATGCAGAATGCCATTGCTAACTTTCAGAGTTGAAACCTCTTTTTCGCACTACAGGCTTGCACAGTCAAGGACAACATTCAACTATGACATCTCCAATTGGGACACCTCGAGCGTGGGTACTTGTCTTCGAATAATGTACTTGATTGGTAAATCATTGCTGCTTGCTCACATTTAGCTATCTTGCTCCATAATTAGGTCACAAGAATGGACAACATGTAAGCCGACTGACGGGGTGTCACGAAACATGAATCGGCTTCGTTTGGCCAACAAATGCATCTGCTCCTTTTGTTTTCATAGGTTTTATGGAGCCACAACATTCAATGTCAACCTGAACAGCTGGGATACCTCCAAGGTGAGTGGGATCTGTTGAGCATTGCATGCAGCCATTGGCTGTAACACTAAGATGTGGTTGTCTCTGTCCCATTCTTCTAGGTCACAAGCATGAATCAAGCGTGAGTTTCACCCAAAAGGTTTTCACTTCGGCAACAGTAACCTCTGATGCTCACTCATGCTTACTCGCTTGCATTTGTAGCTTTTATGGAGCCTCAAAGTTTGATGGAGACCTCACAGGATGGGACACTAGCAAGGTAGTGGACATGTACCGTAAGTTTGGAGTTGGCAGGATGATTCCATCTTTTTCTGATTCTGCTCGTCACTCATGTTGGAACCCCATTTTTCCTATCATCTTTTGGCCTTGAAGGAATGTACGTTCTTTTTCTTGTTCGGTTTGAGAGACTCGCGCTGTAGCATCAAGGGGCTCACATACATGCATTATTGTTTGTGCAGGTTTTACAATATTAGAGTATTCACGGGAACTGGTCTGGCAAACTGGAATGTTGGCCTTGTCACCAATTTCAACCATGCCTTCTACTACAACACAGCCATGAACGCCAACCTGGCAAGCTGGGATGTCTCCAGTGTTCAAGACTTTCAAGCAATGGTAAGCTCCTAGCCAAGGGTACAATAAGTTTGTGAAAGACAGTCCATACATACGTTGTGATCAATGACCTCACCAACAACAACGTTTCTTGGATACATGAAAACAGTTCTACTTTTCTGGCTTTAATCAGGTAAGGAGGTACCCTTGGCTTGCATTGCTTCTTTGCGGCTGGCTGATGTTTGTATCAAACTCGACCTCACATTCTTCTCTTTGGAATCTCCTCCTCAGCCTGTTTCCACCTGGAATGTTGGCAATGGACTGACCATGCTGAACATGTAAGTTGTGCCCAATAGAAGCCAGTGCCTCGGTATATGGCTTGTGCTCCATTATTACTTGGGTGCTTCACTCTTGTGTACCAGGAAGGATTCTGAGTCATTTCTTTTCGTATCAACCGTAGGTTCCGCCAGAGTAGTTTCAACCAGGCTGTTTCAGCGTGGTCTATTTCAAAGGTGACAAACATGAAGTACGTATAGACAGATGACTTTGGCGGTGCTTGTGCTAGTGCTTGTTAAACTGATACCTCTGACACGGTCATGTTGTTTTCATTCAGCTACATGTTCTACTACACCACCCCCTTCAATCAAGATTTGTGTGATTGGGGTAACGTCATTGGAAGTCCAGCAGTAACTGGCATGTTCACAGCAACTAGTTGCCTGTATAAAACAAATCCAAGCCTGACTGCTTCTCCAAAGGGCCCATTTTGTTATTATTGTTCAGGCGTCCCTACGAAGTCCCCGACACAAAGCCCATCAGATGCCCCTAGCATTGCACCTTCCTTGGTCTAGCCAAGCACCCTCCAAGCATCCCAGCCAAGTGCCTTCCACGGTGCCTAGCATTGCACTTTCCATGCTTCCTAGCGTGGTACCTTCTCTGGTTCCCAGCGAAGTACCTTCAAAGGTGCCTAGCCAAGTGCCTGGTGGCACCGTCCGTGCCACCAGTCTAGTAGGCTTTACCATGCATTAAGCTTCCCTTCATCCTCTAGAGTTGGATTTGGCAGCCTCACAAAGGTGGCTTCGATGTGCCAAGGATGTCCTGGCTGAAGCTGGCATGTTTAGATCCAAATGGATAGATCTGGTCTTCAAAAAGAGGTTTCTTGCTGTTGCCTTGGGATCATTCTTGTCAGCCAGTTTTCCGTCTTCTACCGAGTTTTAAAAGGTCGCCAAGGCGTTTGCGGCGCTGCTGCCATTGCCTCTTGCTTTTCACCCAGGCTAGCCAGCTAGCTACGATTAACTCGCTCGCCAAGTACCTCATGCTTCCGCTGGTTTTCTCATGCTTCTTTGCGATCATACAGTCCAGTGGTGTTCGTTGATGCAACGCGTGCTGCATTGGCCACACAAACTTGAGACGCAGGGTTCCTGTGCGGTACCCATTCAATGCCGCAGAAACAATCACTCGACTCCGTAACTCATCTTCGAGAGTCCAGCCAACAAAAAGCCATGATCGTCTGTCTCGCCGCTGTTGGTGATACTGTACTGCCTAGGGACGATTAAATTAACTTGCTCTTCTGGCTACCGTAGCTAGCTAGCACTGCGGCAACTCGGAAGCTTGTGCTGTTCAGCGCCTTCGCTCGAAGCCGCGGCCTCGTTTCCCTTAGTTAGACTTCCACGTTGTACCTCCACTCTCGACCACGGGCAAACCAAACCAGAGGCCCCACAGTGGAATTGCGGAGTTGAGTGACAGTCGAGTAGAGTCATTTCCTGTTGGATACAAAGATACCAATGTGCCATGATCGACATTGATTCTTCACTTGCATACATATTGACGCTTCCTCCGATAGCCTAAGGATCTCTTCATAATATTTCGGCTGGTCGTGGGCCCGTTGACTGCACCACCACCATTCTTCGTTCCACTGTTGCAACCCTCTACCGACGTGTCGGACCCTTCCTTGCGGCCTGCATTGACAAGCCTCTCAAGTCGTAATTTGCAGCAAGATAGAATCCTATCATACAGTGTTGATGGAATGGATCCCCCTGGAGAGGTACTGGAAGATGAGTACATGCTCGCGAATACTAGCAACCACGCAAGGCCGACGGAGAACATTCACGTCGTCAGCACCTTGAACAAGGAACAACGATACAATACACGGTTCGATCCCTGCTACACTCGATGTTGTATGGAATGCGGTTCATCCTATCCTGGCTGGTTTTCCATTCAAGAAGGAGATCAAACACTCGATATTCCCGCTTCGTTTGCACCCACATCGTGGCAAGCACGAGGCACCAAATTTGTCATGATGGTATGGTTCAACGGGACGCTGGTGTACCATTGGTGGGTCTCGTATGCGGATCATGCCGCCTTCTTTTTGTCGTACTTGACCCATTGGGGATTGATCTTTGCCAGTCTGTGGCTCATTGTCACCTTTTGCAACAGTCTGTATCCACCGGCACAACCCAATGGGCGAGACACGACAGTCAAGGCGACAACACAAGACACTCTATCTATCTAGCTACATGTATGTAGCAGACAACGTGCGTATATGCATAGGGACCAGGTGTACCCAAAGCGAAGAAAATTTTCGCTCCTGAAGAGATTAGGGCCTGCAAGTCAACCTACTCCAGGAGGAAGCACTCTGGAATCTCATGGCTGTGCTTGCTCAGAAAGCTCCAGCTTGGGTCATCACCAAGATTGAGCAGCACTACAAAGGAAGTATTTTGACAATTGTGCTGCCATCAAAAAGGGGACACGGATGCGGGCAGTCTGCATGAGGAGCTTAAAGTAGTGCCTAGGTACCGGTATGATAGAGGTTCCTGGAGCTTTACCAAAGAGCTTTATCTTAACAGTGAATAGAATAGTAGAGTTGCGAGCCACATTTATCTTGTGACCAAGGCGGTGACGTTCTCAGTGGCGGACGGCAATGGGACTAATAAAGCTAGGTACCGGTAGATGCGGTAATAAATATCGCATTCCTTGAATGCTAAATCTTTTTTAAAAACTTCGTACTTTTGAGCTTTTGAGAAACAATATTTTTCAGCGCCGAGTGGAGCCAACAATAAAAGCACGGACAAGATTTGTAAAGATGATGACCAGCGGACCAGAGCTCCATGGTTCGTTTGCTTGTTTGCTTGCTTGCTTGCTTGGTCTCTTTATCAACGTGCAGAATGGATAGCTCAGCAGGATCCCTTGAGAAGACCCAAAAGGGTCTCCAACACAATGCGCCTCCTTCTCCCTCCCATGCAGTCGGAGCCATTCGTGCTGATGGCAAGTGTACGGCGAAGAGAGGCCTTGGAATTAACCAGAACAACCATCCAGCCGTTGCTAGGTCAAGAAATGCAGCAGCGGCAGAACCATTAAATAGTAATGAGATCACTCGTTGTTGCCCCAGCGAGCTTCCATCCCAGGCAGGACGGAAACACGGCTTGAGAGGTAGCAGTAGGCATACTGACGAGACGAAGGATAACGACCTAGGAAGTGGGATCCGGAAACATGGCTTGGGGGGTAGCAAACTTGCTCGGGCATCTACTACTGCTGCTACTAGAGATGAGACGAAAGATCCCGATGACGTGGATATTGAATGGTCACCAGAGCCGTTTGAGGACGAAATCCAACCAGAGGATATCCCAACGACCACAGATGATGATAGTGCTATGGTTGGCTTGGCAGTAGCATTGCCGGTGGAAAGTGGAGGGAATTTAATGACGGCAGAACCAGTCGATCCGACAAAAGGCACGTCAACCATGGCAATAGAAGAAAAGGATCGCTGGAACCGCAACTTTATCGTCATCCCTGGTATCCTTATTTTGGTGGTACTTTGTGCTGTGGCCATCATTCTGGCAATTGTCTTTAGTAGTAGCAAGGACAACGGAATCTCATCATCAGCAGTGGGCAGAGAAGACAACACGGCAACGACAAATGGTACCATTTCTTTGGACAGTATGAACAACCATTGGCCTCCTTCCAAAGAGGAAGAAGTTTTTCCATTGCCCAACTACACTAGGCTGACAATGGAGTACAACATAGACTCGGCTCAGTCCAAAGCCTACATGTGGCTGGCACAGGACCCCAATCTCGATAACTATACCCGCTTCCGCAGGGAACAAAGGTTTGCATTGGCTACTATTTACTATTCAATGGATGGTCATCAGTGGGAGCGCAACAATGGCTGGACGTCGTATGATGTTGACGAATGCATGTGGTATTTTGCAGAACGCAAGACAAGTGGTTCTCCATGTGTCTATGGTAGCATATATCGAGTATTGTGGCTCCGGAAGAACCAGTTGAAAGGTACAATTCCTCCGGAATTGCAGCTCATGAATTGGGTGAGATTCTTTTTTGATGGTTTATTGATTCTTCCTTGCATGTCCCTGCAAACTCACCATGCTCTGTGCTATCTATATTCTGGAACATCCCTCATCAGCTGGCTGATATTCAATTAGAAGACAATCCAATGATAAAGGGGACTCTGCCCACAGAGCTGTTCCGGCTTCGTGACTTGCACACAATCTGGATTTGGGGCACGAGCATTGAAGGTACTATCCCCAGTGAAATTGGTTCTGCCAGGAGAATGTTCATGTTCTTTTTTGACCGCACCATGATGGAAGGAAGCTTGCCAACGGAGATTGGTCATTTGTCAGAGCTGATTCTTTTCAGTGGTGCCAAGACGCAGCTCACAGGAATCGTGCCAAGTGCGCTTGGGCACTGCACAGAAATGAAAATCTTCGACCTGGCAGAACTTGGCGGCGAACTTGGCCTTTCTTCCACTCTGTAGTGAGGATCCAGTCACCCACAGCAACTTTACTCATTGGGACCATGCCCTTTCCTTTTACAGCCACCAGCACCAGCCCCGAAAAACATTCTCCTTTAAGCCCAATTACTTCGTCCTCAGCCTGGCCCCTGTCAACACCATCCTCGTCTAGCCGCCGCTCACGTAGGTTCGGCGCACTCTCAGATGATGACAGAGTTGCGGAGATTCTTCCCATCATCGCAAGAAACAAAAGGAAAACGAAAAGAACAGGCTTCATTGCTCTAGCTATAGCCTAGTACGGGATTTCTCAGTTTTGGACGAGGCGTCGTGAGGAGGGGATGATAGAGGGCGTTGGTTTGGCTTTGTCCCACAAAGGGATCGGATCCACGGGAGGCTCCTTGGCTACATGTTTCCGGACGCTGTATTCGTTGTGTCGTGCGTTATCGTGTACCGACACTACGGTACCGTACGCTGCCGAACGGTACCATAATTTTTTATAAAGTTAAAAAGGTTCTGCTTTCTGCGAAACTGGCTGTACAATCCTGTACGTGACATACCAGCCTCTGCGTGATACCCTGTCTTTCGCTACCTTTTTTTCTTCTTTTCAACCTTTCTTTCCCCATCTACCGACTGACACTGGAGAGAACGAACACATCCACACACGAAATCTTTCAAAAATCCCTGACTGAGATGAATACTGAGAGCCTGTCCAGTGTACGAGCATCATATCGTGCTGGTATCGATTTTACATTTAGTAGGTTTCGAATTGATGCATTTTATTAAAATCGTGATTTCCGGCCCTTTCGTTCCATCGTTCCTTCTACGTACCGCTGAGAACGTCATCGCCTTGGTCACAAGATAAATGTGCACGTGAAAATCCTGAATTGAATCAATGGAATCGAATCGAATCGAATCGAATCAGACTGATCATGGCAAATTCAAAGGACCGACGCGATCATGCATGAGGGATAGTATCAATACATTCCGCATTCACTCGACTGGACAGACGATTACTACACCGCTAGCTAGCAACAGATATCATAATATTGAATCGATCATTATCAGCATGAAAGAGGGAAAGAACGATGGTTGTAATACCGATAAGGAAGACGGTCACTCTCGGGACGGCAATCGTTCCCTTGGCAAAGATATCCCAAATGGACTGTCACTTGACCCTGTCATCAGAGATACGCTGATGAAAAGAGCCGAGGCAGAAGCTGCACAATGGCAAATGGATGAAGGAACGGCCAGTGCAAGAGCCTACAAAGATGAAGAAACTGTCCACAAAATAGTTGCCAAGAAGAAGCCTTTTCCTTCTTCCTCGGCTCAGCCCGGCCACAATAATAAATTGAGGGACAATCCACAGCTGCCAAAAATAGGGAAACTCAAACAACAACACGATGACCAAGATGAAATCATGAAAATTGTGGCAGGTCAGGCCAGTTTGGCGGTCGCTGAACAGCTCAATGCCAAAGAAGATATCCGTCGAGAAAAACCAAACACTGCTGGTACTAGCGACCACCTCATGCAGTTGGCAGTGGAAATCAACGAAGCTGCCAAAATGGAAAAATTTGCCGCCAATAATGCCAGAGGAAGTAGTTCCAAAGAGAACACGGAAAGTAACTTCCGTGATGGCACGACCAACCATACTACAGATTCTGCCATGACGACAATTACTACTGGCAACGTAGCTCGGATCAGCAACAACCCACAAAGCCACCAGCTATCGTTTTTCCGAAAGGGACAGACTTGTGCTGCGGGTATGCCTGCCAAAGGATCGGCAACAGCACAAAAAATGTTGAAAGTGGACGAAGATTTTAAGCATGAAGAACACAGAGACGCTGCTAGTTGTAATATGGACCTCCTGCACATGGCAACCGAAATCAATGAGGCTGCAAAATTGGAAAAGTTTGAAGCTTCTGTAAATTCTGGTAATCATCCAAACCTGCAAAGTGCACAACTTTCAGTACAACCAGAAAATATTCCACAGAGGCAGAAGTCATCCAGACCAGGGGCCTACATGGGTGTACCGGGAGAAGCCTTGCAACGAGCCAATACCATAAATTTCTCCCTAATCGGTGCAAGTGCTACTGGTCAGGGTGAACCCTTAGTGCAGATAGGTTATCCAGACGATTCCTCTGCCCAGGTGGAACCACATGATGTGGGACAACACAGCAGCACCACTAACCACAACATTCCATCAACAAATGACCCGCACTTGGCAGTGGCAAATATTGTTCTAGAAGATACAGAGGAGGAACAAACTAGGCCCGCTGCAGATCCAGTCGATCTACAGCATGTCCAGCAGAGAGAACAAAAGAGGAAGAAACAGAGGCTGATGTTTATACTTTTCTTTGTCCTGTTGTTCATTGTGGCAGCAGTCGTTGTGGGAGCTGTGGCAGGAACCCAAAAGACGGAGCCAGAAGTGGTTGTCTCCCTATCAACAGACACTCCGACGGTTTTTGGGTCCATGACTCCTTCTGGAGTACCATCATCTGCCCCCACTGGGGTTCTAGACTTGCTATTCGATAGTCTCCCTGACTACACTTTGGCCAGCATCAACAATGGCAGTGAGACCCCACAGTGGAGAGCATGGCAATGGCTAGCCAATCATCAGAACATCACATTCCTTTCAGATTGGAGAAAGACACAGCTCTTTGCCCTTGCAACATTTTTCTATGCTTTCGAAGGAGAAAGTTGGAATCCTTTAATCAGGGGCCATGGATGGATGGATGACACAGTCGAAGAGTGTGACTGGTTCTCTAATGGGTTTGGACATTTTTTTGATGGAAGATACTATCCATTTTTTATTCAATATTTGTCATGCAACAGCCAAGGACAATTGACATCTCTGGATCTGCAAGAGCTGCAGATCCCTGGTCTTTCACCATTTATTCCACCTGAGATTGCGCTCTTGACTTCATTGTCTCGTGCCAACTTTGGGAACAATGCCATTGCTGGACCACTTTCATCTCTGTTACCAACAGAACTTTATGACATGACTGGATTGACTGAGTTATCGTTGAATTATAATCAGGTCACTGGCAAAATTCCCTCCGAATTTTCCACAATGACTGCTTTGACTGCATTACATTTGAGTCAAAATCTGCTCACCGGTCAAATCCCTTCTGAGCTTGGGCTCATGACCTCATTGGAGCACCTCTACCTGGAAGGTAATCAATTGGCCGGTCCAATTCCTTCAGAGATTGGGCTCATGACCTCATTGGAGCTCCTCTACCTCAGTGAGAATCAGTTGTCTGGTCCCATTTCTTCCGAGCTTGGCCTTTTGACATCACTGACCCACCTTGACCTTCCTGCGAATCAGTTGACTGGTCCACTGCCTTCGGAGCTTGGGCTCCTGACCTCATTAGCATGGCTAACGCTTACTGATAATCGCTTGAGTGGTCCGCTTCCTTCAGAGCTTGGGCTCCTTGCCTCATTACTCTGGCTTGACGTTTCTGTGAATCAATTGGCTGGTCCGATCCCATCTGAGCTTGGTTTCCTGGCCTCATTATTCTGGCTTACCATTTCTGAGAATCAGTTTACCAGTACGTTTCCTTCAGAGCTTGGGCTCCTGACCTCATTGGAAGATGTTTCTTTGTATCAGAATCTATTCACCGGTCCAGTTCCTTCCGAGCTTGAAAAGCTGGCTGCTTTGACTTCGTTGTTGCTGAATCGAAATCAGCTCACCGGTCAAGTCCCTTTCGAGCTTGGCCTTTTGACGAATGTGACATCGCTGAGCTTGTATGAGAATCACTTGACTGGGACAATTTCCTCTGAGCTTGGGCTCCTGACCTCATTGGGGGACCTTCACCTTTATGACAATCGGTTCACTGGAAAAATCCCAACTGAAATTGGGGCGATGACATCTTTGACAGCTCTGCGTCTTCACAACAACAGCCTGACAGGAACACTGCCCAGCGAACTGAATGCATCAATGGGATTGACGCTATATGGGAATCAGTTCTCAGGAACTGTCCCAGGGCATCTTTGTGCTTTGCTGCAGTGTGATTGTTCCCTAAATGAAACTCCTCCTGTTTCCACCTGCTCTGACCTCATAGCAGCTCCGCCTGATTGGCCTGGTCGATTTCCAACCAGAGGTGGTGAGGTCATGCTGAACATCCACACAGAGGATTATCCAAATGAAACATCATGGGTTTGGCAGCAGGAAACCAATATGATTGGTGTTTGGGACATTCTAGATGAATCCGATGGTCCCCTGACATTGCCTCGGTATCTCCACTCCTCTCTCTTCACAGTCCACCCCAAGAACAGGTACAGACTGGTTGTATCTGACAGTTATGGTGATGGCTTGTACGTCCCTGGATGGATAACTCTGACGGCAGAAAACAAAACGGTGTTGTATTCCTATGTCAGTAATACCAGTTCAGATGATTACATATATACGAGTGACAGTGACTTCTCTGAAATCTTCATTGACATCATGGGTAGAGCTGATGGTTCTTTAGGTGTCACCAATTCTACAGCATGACGATGGTTACACTTTATGAGTTTTCAATACATTTAAATATATAACTTTACAATACAAATTACTTTATTTGTGCGTACTGGCTTGCTAGGTACCGCGAGCCAGCTCTGCATTCGTTCCCTTGTTACCTTCGAGTTCGTTCTCGAAGGTGATGAAGACAACATCTACATCGATCACCTCTCTATGCCTATCCAGGCAACCTGAGCCAAACATCTCCTTACGACAATTTCTATGTCATCGTGGTTGGAAATGATCTCCGCAGTGCGATCACAGTGGTCCTCCCCATCACAGCCTTCGAACAATCTAATGATACTGCCTGCAGCAACATGACAATTGTTATTGGAGGAACCATGTTCGCGACTCCACAATGGTCCCCATCACTACGGCGACCGTCGGATACGGAGGAGATCTTCGAGTCATCGCCAATACGAGAGAAGGCTGCACGGGGAGGAGGAGGATACATGACAACTCGTACGAACAGAGGAGAGTGGATCCTCCTATTGGATTCATCCCTCCTTACTACACCCATTCATTA